ATTGGGAATTATTTCAAAATAGAAAGTGCTTAAAAGGCTTGTGAGGACCTTTTACTCTTAGTCACAAAGTGTAACTTGGAATGCTGGGGTCTAGGACTTAGTATATTTTTTCAGGAATATTACATAATATTATGCAACTCTAAGCTTTTACAACGACCCTTTAGCTTTATTAAAACTATTATCAAGATTTTCTCAACAAATAAATAGTAATAGAATTTGGTTAGGAATTTTGTCTTTAGACCATTAAATTATAAATTAAACAGTTTTTTTTCAAATCTCACAGCGCATTTATAAGTCAAAATAGTTTAGAAAGTACTTGTTGAAAACCAGCAATGTGCAAGACACTGGAGATACAAAACTGAGGAAAATACAGCTTTTTTCCTCCATTAATCAAAGATTTATGGTGTTGTTGTGGTGCATATCTATGTATGTGATTAATAAATATGGAGCTACTCTTTGGTTTATGTGGTCATGATCAACAAATTGCTATGTATATATAGTGATGGGAAAGAGCTATGGAAAAAATATAAATGGAAGAAGTTAATTCAATGGTTATTAGGAAAGTTTCTCAGAAGATGTATTTGAGCTAGACCTTGGGTGATGAGAGAATTTAAAGGGGAACCAAAGATCCTAGGCAAGTGTCCACAATGCAGAGTCTTTAACACTAGAATTCTATTGGGCACGACTTTATCCTCTTCTGTGTAGCAGAAGCATAGTAGGTGCTCAATAAGTATTCTTGAAGTAAATTGTTTACTTGCCATTTATCCATGTAAAAAACAAAGTTTTACTATTTCTTCATAGTAAATAGTAAATAGTTGTGCAATTGTAAATTGAAGAAATAGTAAAACCTGTGCAATTTTTTCTTACATGGATAAATGGCAAGTAAACAATTTTAATAAGGAAAGATTTTCCTTTTCACTTGTGTGACATATGTGGTGGTGATAGGGACTTTCTTTTCAATTATTCTTGGAATAGAGAAATTAGGTCACTTCTGTGAAAAACAAATGTGTGAAAAGTTTAGGTTAATAAAATCTACAGAAATATCTGGAAAAGTATATATACACAGAGATAACGTCTCGGAACGTTTAAGTAATCAGTCCTTAATTTGAAAAATGAACCTAGCAGAGCTTCTAGAAATAATAAAATATAGTCTTTAAAATGTAAAACTCAGTGGGCCTGTAAGACCAATTAGACTCAGCTAAAGAAGTAGCAAATTAGCTGAAAGAAAACCTGATAAATGACACAGAATGAAGCACATAGAGGTAAAGAGAAGATGGAAAAGGAGAGATGAAATTGTTGAAAGATACAGAGTAGATCTATAGTGGGTCCAATATCAGATGAATAGATCACTTGTGGTTTCATCAGAAACGAGTAAAGATGAAGAGAAGCATGAAGTATGGAGTGCAGTTTATATTGTTATGTCAATGTGGACTCATCAATTGCAATAATAGTACAACACTAATATAAGAAGCAAGGTATATGAAGTAACGTAATAGGGAAAGCTGTGTGGGTATAGGAAGGAATACATGGAACTCTCTATTTCTTTTCCTCACAATTTCAGTAAACCTAAAACTACTTTTAAACAATAGTGTGTTAAAACAAATGAATGAATAAAATATACACTAAGTTGCAATTACAGTTTAACTTGAACTGTATTAAATGCAAAAATAAAAAGAGCTGAGAATCATATACTTAGCAAGGATCAAATGCATACCAATCCAAGATATTAAATGGCCATTGAGTTTTAAAACATTAGCACTTATGGTTGTTAAAAATCAAATTGCATTAAAAGAAGCCTTTGTGCTAAAGGCATCATAGTAGAGCAGGAGGAGAGACTTATAAGTCAAAGTCCATTTTTAAAGGCCAACCCTCCCCCAAAAAACCCTAATAAAAATATCCATTATTACACATCTTATATGAGAGTGTAGATGTATTTCCCTGTCTCCCATCAGATTAAAGCCAGTTTGAGGTCCCATGATAAGAAGGATCAGAGTTGTCATTTTTTTAAGGTTCTTTAACACTTAGGTCAGGAAGCTGCTTTCTGCCTCCTTCCTAATGGGGGTGAGTTAAACACCTGTGCAAGGGAAAAGCACCCATTCTCCTCTGCAGCTCTTGTAGAACCAAGTCCTCCAAGCCAGGACCAGCTTCATGGATGTGGGATATGAGTGGTTGCATAGGTTGGTACTTAGAAGTGTCCCACTCTATATTTCATGCTCTGTTGTTGCTGTCTTGTAATTCTTGAGCATTTTTTAACAAATGGCCTTACATTTTACTTTGCACTGTGTCCCGCAGATTATGTAAATTACATAACAAGTCCTGCTCTAATATCTTATTATGCAATACTCTACATACTACTGTAGTTTAATTCTCCCCAAGATCTAACCAAGTGTTCCTACATCGAGGCTCACAGGGACCCAGATATGACTGGAGTGGGCCAGGGAGCTAGGAGTGAGTGTAGGTCTGTGGTAAACAGGAAAACACGCCTTTTCCAAAGGGGCAATTGGGAGTTGGCTGGCTAACTGTCATGTGGGAATGTGGGCCCAGTGTCGCCAGAACTTCCCCCAAAAGAGCAAACTAGAGACTCGCCTTTTATTTTCAAATGTGAAGTCATCATATTTTAAAATCTTGACTCAATTAGAAAAAAGTATCCTCTGTTTGGGCCAAATAAAACATATCTGCTCCACCCTACCATGGCCAGTGGTTTGTGATCTCTGCCCTAGAGCTTCAAAAACAAAAGCATGCTTCTTAGTTTCCCCATTTGCTTCTCATTCAACCTGACCATTTGTTATCCAGCACCTGCTCCGTCCTCTGTACTGAACTGGGAGGTGCAGAACAGTCCTGCTATGAAACAATGGAAGTGTGTGGTGGTGGGGAACAGGTAAGAGACTTGCAAGATTTTCCTTCTCTCCTTTGGGTTGGAGGAGCTCCAGTAAGCTAAAGGAAGAGCAGCAAAGCACATAGCAGAGAGGTAGAACACACGGCACTAAAATAAGGCACCTATGACCTGCTGGATGAGGTTCCAAAAGTGTTCTCAACAATATCCCATCACTGTGATATTATATATAATTTTAAAAATACCTTAGTCTTCTGATTCTGGGAAGATGGCTTAGTTATTTTTGCCTCTTCCTTTCACTAACTACAATTAAGAACTCTGGATATTATACAGGAAACTAATGTAAGAAATCTCAAAAAGGTAGAAGGGAAAGTAGACCAGCTACAATTGCAATATCTGAAGAGTAGGATAGTAGTGAGTTCCCTGTTCGGTTGGTTGCTTAATTATTATCTTTTTTTTTTTTTTTTTTTTTTTTTACTTCACATATTGTAGACTGGGCACTGGGAAAGTTGGCAACTCCAAAACATCAATGGGCTCAGATAAAAAACAGTCCCTCAAAAGATGTGCTTTCTCTCCCCAGAAAATAAGGAGAGATGTCTAATGAAAGAAAACCTTAAACAAATGAAAGCTCTACTGGAGAGGTTCTGCAAGGAGCCAAAGATTAAGAGACAGGAAGGGCAAGAGGGCTGGGTATCACTGCCTGACGGGTTAAATCTCCTGGAACGGATGAGATGGCTGGGGAGAAGAGAAGAATGCTAAATGAAGGCCAAAGACAGAAATTTGGGGAGGCCTAGGCATTATCCTTTGGTTTAATAGAAGAAGTTGGGAACAATGAAAAAGTACAATGCATTGTAACCCTCCCTAGAGATTCTTGGGTACTTTTTGTATTTTTTTCAAAATTCTAAAGACAATTCAATTCTAAAGTGTATTAAATGTCGAAAACTTTAAAGGATGAGAGGAAAAGAACTGACAAGGATTCACCATAAGTAGGAAAATGTTTTGGAAGAGTGCTTTCAGGAAACCTATAAAAGAGCAATTCATGGATGGGAGAGTGATCAACAGTACCAATGACTGGATAGCAAGAGGTTCTTTCTTGAGCAATGAAACAATAATTCGGGACTGGGGCTGGGTTTTAAGATTTCCTAAATGTTGTGGAAAACTCACAGAAATCAGATCAATAAATAAATATAGTTATCTTATTTTGTAGACTGAAAAAGAGCAGTTCAAAGGAATAAGAGAGTAAAGAAAAACCTTACACTAACTTTAGAACTGCCTCAACATCACCCCTGATTTTATTGAGGACAATAAATGTCTATAAAATCAATCTGTTTTAAAAATATAAAATGCTGTCAGAAGACAAGTATCAGGGGTGCAATTCAAATATAATTGACCTAAGACATATAAATTATAAAATTTTAGGAAATGCCAGAATCATTACTCAATGTTTATTATGGTATATAATTTTTTCTTATAATTTTATTTTATGCCTTATTTGTTCTATAACTACCTACTAATTTCTTTTTAAATATATAATTTTTTGAATTGGCATCTTTTGAAATTACAATATAAAATCATCTTTATTTTATAATGAAAATAGTAATATGTGCATTTAATGGTCTAATAGTAAATATTTTCACGTTTTTTAACTTGATCCTGTCAATAGTCCTCTAGTGTACACAGAATTACTATTATGCAGAAGAGGAAATGGAAGTCCTTAGAAATTAGGTGGTTTGCTCAAGGACCTCCAACTTCTGTTAACAGTCAGAATTCATACTTGAGATGTCTGATCCTTACAATTTTCCATAGTACCTTTGTTTTGTTAGTCTATCAGCATTTCTGATCAATCTTCATGAAAAACTATACCTATGTGTTTCAGAGACTGTGCCAGGGGCAAGCTCTGGTTTGTGAGAAATAATGGGGAAAGAGGGAAAGGGGCATCAGTTGTTCTATTGACACGGTTAAGAGAGAGGAAAAAACCTTGCCAATGGATTCCATGGCAACAGAAACGAACTCTAACCTTCCTCCCAAAGCTAGAGATTTTAAAGTTAAAATTTTTAAAAAGGTTACCATGATTTTTACTCAAATGTCCATGATGGTGAGGTTGTCTCGAAAGGAGACTATACTTAGTTTTCCTACTTTGTAGAAGTAGTCATTGAAACAAAGAAAGCAGCATTAAAAATCATAATTTTATTTTTGCAATGATTATGATTGAAAAATGCAGTAATTCATGAGCAAACATACAAGAAAAAGTCACAGAAGCTTATAAAATGGTTTTCTCTCAAACAGAGAAATTAAATCTTGCTTTTCTGAATGGCTGATATCAACCAGCTAAAATACTCTTATAAAGAGCAACTTTATAACACCTATTAGGAACATTATTTTACTAATACACTTCAGAAACAAATCAGTAATCTTTGGGGAAGATAGCAACATTGATTCCTGGGTCATTGTCATCATCAATTTCAGGTTCTTTATCATTTTCTTCAGGGATACATTTGCCACGTAGTTTTTCTGGGTTTCTCTTTTTCTTAGGAGTACAGAATGGGTTATTTTTCTCTTTGATCTTGGTATGTGAGTTAGTTGTTTCTCTCTCCAAAGCAAGCTGTAGACAGTTGTAAAACCTGTAAAGAATTAAAGTACTACTATTATATCTGTATAGTCTGAAAGTGAATGATGAAAGCACACATAGATTTTGTAAATTACACAAATTTGACAATGTCCTAGGTTAGCTTTATAAATATTAAGTAAATCAAAGAAAAAAATATGCTTCCTGCTTTTATCACTGTTTAATTAGGGGGAAAAAAATGCTTTCAGTTCTTTAAGAACAATTCTAAAAATTGGAATGGAATCATCCATCTCTCAACACCCTCTATCCAACCTCAATTTCCATTCTATTCTGAATGTAGGAATCAAGCAAAGGCAGTTAGGAACCCTGAATATTATTATTTTATTTAAAGAAATCATACATGTAAGAAGATCACTTTAGAGTTTGAATACCTTTACATAGATATACCGCTATTAATATTTTTTCTTTCCAATTTATTAATGTAGTCTGTATTCATGTATTTAAAGACATAAAACTGTTGCATTTTTACACAATTATATTACATATAAAGTTTTACATTGCTTTTTCAAATTTAACATTTATTGAGAACATTTTCCATTTCATCAAATGAACTACAAAATACTTTTTAATAATAGTATAACATCATGCTATCCAGATATGCCTTTATTTTCAAATTTTTCCTAACACAAACAACAATGTAAAAACCTTTTGGAAAATGATTTGATCCAAGTTTCTATCCATTACTTAGAATAGATACCTAAATAATCACATTGTTAAAGGGTATGCACATTTTAAGGCACTTGATAAAATACTGTCTGTTTTCCAGATGGATGGTCAAAAACATATGCTTCTAATAGCAGTACTTGAGACAGGCCACTTCACTCACAGATTAAATATTACCATCAAAGAACATGCCTTACTTTAATGATAGATTAATATGGTATCTCATTATTTTAATTTTCATCTCTGTTTATTAGTGACATTATTACATTTGTTTATTAGTTATTTGAACATTTTTAGACAAATTGTTCTTTTATTTTCCATTGGAGTTTTAGTGTTACATTTTTGAGTAAATCACTGAGTTTTGATTTCCTCATTTATAAAACTGGATAATATCATGTGCCTAGCAGCATTGTCAGAAGATCACAGATGAGACAGGTAAGTATCTAGCACAGTGCCTGGCACAGAGCTTTTAATAATGACTATTTTTAAATAATATAGATGTCATGAAACGTCTATCTTGTTTTCTGTTATATTCTTAGCATGCAGTACAGGGTTGGCAAACTCAATGACAAAGTGCTGGAAAAAAAATGAATGAATAACTACTGAATAAAAAAGGTAGATGTATATTATCCTAGGTTCCCAATTAGAATGATCTGGAAGTTGGAAATTCCCATGCCATTGTAGTGATCCCATTTTACTCTATTATAATGGGATTACAACTGGAAAATTTTGACTATAGAATATATTATTGTATTGATCAATTTTCTTTTCTTTAAGGAACAGGCAAGATTCTACTTGGACAGACTCTAAAACTCTAAAGCCCAAATCTATCCAAAAATTCCCAAATGCTCCACACAACTATAATAAATGACAAGACTACTATATGTCCTGTCCCTGTTTTAGGAACACATGCACTCACCACTGTATACTCTGATATCCAGTACTATGCATGGTATATGATAGGTACTCAATAAATATTTCTTCAATGACCAAGTCAATCTCAAAGAAGGAGGTGTAGTTAAAGGAGAAAGACAGAAATATTGACAAATAACATTTTGGGGCCTTGTCCCACAGTAACTAATTTTTATTTAATACACTATTTATATGCAACTGAAACTCCTCCAATCATCATTTCCCCTCCTCCTCCCAAGTGCAGACTGCTTATCTTTCTTGTTTTTTTAAGGTCAGTTAGAGAACCAATTAAAATAAAAAGCTAAAAATTTGGCTTCTGAATTAGGAACACGTTCTTGAGGAAATCATTCAAAAATACAAAAACAAAAACAAAAAACAGTTCTGATGTAGTATGTATTTGAATTTTAACCATTTAAGCAATAGCATTTTACTTAAAAACAACATAGGTCTGTGGTAGGCCTGTGGCAGGTACTGAAAACACAGGTGAGAGATATATGTGGTCTGTGGTTACATCTCAAGGAGCCCTTGGATCATCAGGAGCTGCAGAGTTGTAAGGCCACATTCAATATGCCATGAGAAAGATAAGATGAAGTAGGAGCACACTGGAAGCACACTGCTCCAACTGTATATGGGATATTACACATTAGAAGCCACAGTCCAGGGGCAGAATCCTGGAGAACAATGTTTAACTAAATGGTATTTAAAAAAAAAAAAGAGAGAGAGAGAGAAATCCACAGGGAAGCTAAGAAGCACCAAAAGCAGAAAGGAAAGCAGCAAAGTGATGTAACAGAAATTCTTCCTCCTCTTATCCTTTAGGTAAATCGAGTCATTCATGGATACCCATTCATGGCTTAGGTATTGCCACCCCTTTTTCTTTACCTGTACTCTGGTTTTCTACCTATCATGCAATTCCCGCTTCTCTACAGCTCCTCATATAAAAATCCTAAACTTTAAGGCCTACCTCACTGATTTCTCCCATAAGGTTTTCTTTGATTACGCTTTTCTGCACAAATGAATTTAACTGTTTCTCTTTTGAAATCCTAGAGTATTTATGCCTTTATTGGGGTACTGGCCACTTTCCAGGTTGAATAGTTTTTTGTGTGCATTCATGAACTCATAATTATGCTACTTATGCTACTTATATAGGCTGTCCAAGCAGGATCCATTTTGGATTCTTCTCTGAATTTCAGTGCCTAGCAGTTCTTCAAATTTTATAGTTCTGTGTGTAATACTTGTTGGAAAAAACTAATACTTATTTATCCTCACCCAATCTATCACCTTTATGATGGGATAAAGTCTACTCTGGAAATACCTTGTATACTTGCTGTCAAGAACCAAATACATCTACCTGGAAGAGACTGAGAACAGAGCTAGGCTGGGATACCCAAAAAGTTCACATGGAAGAATTGGAGAGCAATTGTGATTTAAAAAAAAAAAAAAAGGATGGCCCAATTTCATCAGCCCATTACTCAGTCATTTACTTATCAATATTAAAAATCAACCATTGGTTAACCCAAAATAACCCAAATGCAAGAACTAAAACTATAAAACTCTGGGAAAAATAGGGGGAAAGCTTTATGACACTGAATCTGGAAATGATTTCTTGAGTATGAGACTAAAATCACAGGCAACAAAAGAAAAAATACATACACTGAATTTCATAAAAATGTATAACTTTTATACACTAAAGAATACTATCAAGAAAGTGAAAAACTGAAACAGTAGTTGGAAAAAAAAGTGAAAAGGCAACTCAAAAAAGTGAGTAAAATATGTGCAAATCATATATCTGATAACAGACTAATAATATCCAGAACAGATAAAGAACTCCAATGACGCAACAACAAAAAACCAAACAACTGATTAAAAAAGGCAAAGGACTTGAATAGATATTTCTCCAAAGATAGACAGATGGTCAATAAACACATGAAATGATGCTAAGCATCAATAATTACTAGGGAAATGCAAAGCAAGACTATGTGAGATACCACTTCACATTCACCCTACTATGATTACTATTATTTAAATATCAGAAAATAAAAAATATCAGCCAAGATATGGTTTCAATTTCTCATTAATGGTGGTAATGTAAAATGGCACAGCTGCTATCATAAACAGTATTGGGGATCTTAAAAACATGTCAAATTACCATGACTGGGAATTGCATTCTGGGTATATACCCAAAAGAATTGAAAGCAGGGACTTATACAGATATCTGGACACTGATGTTCAGAGTACCATAGCATTATTCACAATAGCTAAAGGTGGAAACAGTCCAAATGTTCACGACTGATAAATGGATTAACAATATGCAGTCTATTAATACAATGAAGTATTATCACCTTAAACAGAAGTAAAATTCTGATATGTGCTACAGCATAAAGACATGAAGACATTACATCATGAAGACATTAGCTAAGTGAAACAAGCCAGACATTAAAAAAAAAAAGGACAAATATTCTATGATCTCAATTATATGAAGTACCTTCGATAGTCAAATTCAGGGCCAGAAAACAGATTAGTATTTACCAGGGGCTGGGAGTTTGCAGAATTGGGAGTTATTGTTTAAGTGGTACAAAGTTTCTATTTAGGATGATGAAAAAGTTCTAGAAATGGATAGTGACAACGGTTGCATACAATGTGAATGTACTTAATGCCACTGGATAAAATTGTAAATTTCATGTTATACATATCTTACCACAGTTAAAAGAGTTAAAAAAAACCAACCACTGGAAGTAGATTCAATTACTCTTTTAGATTTCTTTATTCTTAACAATATTATATGCCAATATATTTAGCTCTTTTATTCTATGTTTTAGCTAACATTTTCTTATTATATAGTTGATGAAAAGGAGAGCATGGTTAATTTCATTCTACTTATAGCCAAATGGTGGTTTCATCTGATCCATGCCCTGACCTCTTATTAACAGACACAAAGAAAGCCTTCCTCTTGTAGTTAGTAAAAAGATCTTCAGGCTTCCTATGTCTCACCTGGAAATCATTATGTATGAGATTATCATACTGTGTCTGGTGTTAGTCCCTGTCTCTCCCAGTCTCCAAATCGGCAGTTTGCTGCAACTTGCAGGCCTGTCTTGCCCAGCTCCAGAAACCACAGGAAGTCAGCTGTTCCTGCTGGATAAATCTCTTCCCACTGACAAGGGGCTTGGGACTTTTTTTTTTTTTTTTTTAAACAAATAAGATCTTTTTCTATTAAATATTACAGTAGAAAAAAATATTTTCTATTAACTTTGATCTCTGTTTCCAGAATATCTCTTGCTGCTGAAGTGTTACACATTTTATATATTAGTATATTTTTGAGTTTTTACAATTCTCTTAGAGATATCTGAGTTCCAAAACTGGTGCTATGACAAAACATTTTTAGTATTCCCCATTGATTGCCTAACTCATCACCTCCAGTGTTTATTATTTCTTCTCTTTTCAACATCAGAAGAGTAACTCTTCTTCTGCATTTGGTTGAATGTACAGCTGTTCCCAAGGGAGCTCCCTAATTTGTTCACACTTTTTGAATTCACATGTAATCTTCTAATCAGTATCTTAAGACACTTTTACCCTTCTTTAATTTTTCCCTGATTTTATATGATGAGCATGGCTCTCTTGATAGCAGCATGCATACTATAATCTCAAAACATTTTTGAGTCAATGGATTTAAAGCATAATTTGATTTTATAGTTGGTGAACGTGGCTCAATTAACTTCACCAGGTGTATAGTTAGTTGATCTTGAGCTATATTTATCATCTTATTGAAATTCAAGTAAGGAAACAGAGAAAACTGATTTGCTACCTCCTACATTTTAACAAACAGTCTCACCAGATTACTATCTATCAAATGTAGTAAACTTTTGGAATGGTACCAATAAGTACCTACATATATCTCAAACCTGTATTCTAGTGGAGTGGGGAACTATTCTTCTGTAGATTAGCTGAAATCATCACTTGAGTTAGAATACTTGCTCTTTGTGGCCAGGTTTTTATGGTCAGATTTTCTCTGCCAGGGTTCAGTTAGAAAATTAAGTCCTAATACTCTAAGACATCACTGTATGTAATGAATCAACTTCTCTCAGTGTGTCTAAAATAGTACTTGATACATATCATACCTGGGAGAATTGAGAAACAATCTCTTGATTAATTTATGAATTCCATGGTTCAAATGAGGATCCCCAATTGAGAAAGTCTGGATGGTGGTACTGATGTGGTTACTCTCCATGAGCTAATGAAGAATAAGGGCTATCCTATTCTGAGAGAGTCCATCACATGACAGGGAGGCCAGCCATGTGCACATGTGATCAAATGAATTCTAACAATTGTTCTTTAAGGTACGTACTTCTCTCAAATTACAGATTTAAAAAAAAACCTCTTTCACTGGGTTACAATGCTACCATTGTCACTTCTAGTCTCAGCTATTTCAGAAAAGTTCTAGATATTAAAGAATTTTAATCAGGCAAGTTAAGCAATAGGATTCCTCTGGACTTCACAGAAATGATTCTAATTATGATGTGGAGAATCACCGGCAAAGAGACATACTAGAAAATGTTGAGGAAAAAAGTTAAAATAAGAATTTCACTTGTCAGAAAGTGAAGTTAAAGAACAAAAGTATATAAGATGTGAATAGACAGCTGTACTCCTTCCTGGCTGTATAATTATGGCAATTCTAGATTGAATCTGTGACAAGAGTAGGGAATTAAACTGGCTAGAGGTGTAAAAAACTTGTCAAACAAAAAACCCAGGCTATACTCCTCAGAGGGAGATTCCAGGTAATCTCTGGTGGGTCACAAGCAGGGCAAGTGAGCGCATCTTTCCCAGCTGCCTTAACTATCAGTTATGGTTCCTGTTGCTGGTGGGCTCTTTCCTAAATGATTACAGTTCTCTCCTTAATGCCTGTTTCTGGTGGTCACATGTCCAGCTGCCTTTATGTTCCATTTGGTTCCTAATCTATTCTGACCTATTCTCATCTATTACTTTGATTCTTTTAATTATTTATGATAAGGCTAGACATAGACAAGCAGTTGAGATTATAAAAACTTGAGATATAATGATGGTGTGAATTAATATTTTCAAGGATTACCTAGGCATATTAATAATACCATAAAAATATCTAATTAGTATACCTTTCAATTCTTTTCTTGTTTTCCTCCATTTTCTGGTTTGCTATATTTAACAGGAATTCAATATATTCTTCTGTCACCATCAATTTTCCCTTATGGCTTAATGGAACTTCTAAACCATGTGTACTCCGGACAGCCTAGGGGGAAAAACAATTGAGATATGAAGACTTTATAATCTCTATACAATGAAGATAACTAAAGAAAAGTCCCAGTCAGGCCTGAGTTTGAACATAGCTTAGTTCCATTTCAGCATGTAAGTCTTTGGTATAAATTAGCTGAACACAGTTGAACCAAAGAAGATTAAATAGATTTTCCAATCATATACAGTCATTTCTAAAGAAAGCTTTCTACATATTATCTTTCAGAGAAGCAGATACTATCAAAGAATCCAATAACTTTGAACAGTTTCAGTATAACTATGGCTTAGAAAGCTTTAGTACACAATTTAAACAAAATAAATAAATGAAACCTCAACAGAAGCCTCAAGGGAAAATCTAAAGGGACTGGATGCAAAGAATCTCTTAAGAGATTCTTGAGCCAAGAATGATTAAGAGTAACCCATGGCTCCCCTACCACACAAAGTTGCTTTCCTAATGCCTTAGCGTTGCCAATCTTAGTAACCCTGCTGATGAAACAGTTCACATATTCTAAGTAGATCCTAACACTGGAGAGATGTTAAGAAAAACAGCAACAAAAACTATTACGAGGAGTAAAATTCATTTAATGACTCTTTACTGAACATCTGTACTATTCCAGGCCTCCCATAAGGTGAGAAGAGATCAGAGGATTTGAGTCTTCTAAGGACTCACACCTTAGAATAGAAAATAGTAAGTGAACAAAGAATTGCCAGGCAACTTAAGCGGTATGATAAAGAAACATGTATGCACACATATGAGCTCACACACACAATGCTAGCAAAAAGGTAGAAGAGGAACCACTAATTAAGGCTGAGGACTCAGCTTTATGGAAAAGGGTAAGTGCAATTGCACCAGACATAGAAAAGGGGAAGGGGGTGTTCCAGTCAGAGGAAGAACTTTTCTGTAGGCACTGAGCCATGGGAGAGCCTAAAGTCTTTGGGAAACATCTAATAGCTCCATATGGCTGGAGTATAAGTGTGCTGGAAGAAGATGAGCAAAAATACACAGACATAAGATGACCTGAATATCAGATAAAATATCTGGAGACCCTGATTTTTTTAGAAGGGGGATTTTGACAGTGTTGGTTGCAGGGACTCTAGGACAAAACCTGGAATAGGAAAGCCAGTCAAAAGACAAATGTAAAAAGACTGAGGTGAGGAATAATGAGGGCTGAAGCCAGGGCAGAGGGCCTGGGGTGGAGAAATGAGAGGGAGAAGTAACAGGACTCCTAACTAATTAGATACAGAAGACAAAGGAGAGAAAGTGGGAAAATGGCTGTGTGGAGTCAGGTGAGGACACAAACCAGTACCGAGGGCTTTGATTTTCTATTTATTCAGGCTTTGCAGGTGTTTTCTTTCATGGGCCTACCCTATTTGGGAAATAGGCTATTTGTTAAAAATAGATTTTAAAAACTCTAGGGAGCTAGAATAGAGGATAATCTGAAACAATTCAAAAACAAACAAGACATCCCATGCCAAACAGTGAATACCACAGTAGATCAAAATTGGGCAAAATAACTAGGGGTTGGCTTGGCCATGGAAAGATAGAAAATGTGGGACTAAGGGCTTTAAAGATCATCTAGCCAGGGGCCAGCAAATATGTTCTGTGAAATGACAGGGAGTAAATATTTTTGACTTTGTGGGCCATTCAGTATCTGTCACAATTACTCAATTCTGTTGCTGTGGCACAAAAGCAACTTTGACCAATAATTAATCCATAAACATAGTGGAATCTGGCTCCCTGTGGACTGGATTTGGCCCTAGTTCAGTAGTTCAGTGAAGCTCTGACAAAACTGAGAAAATTCAAATGCTGAGGGATTAAGTGAGGTTGCATGAGTTCATGTGGCATAACTGGGGCCCAGTGGTATCAACAGAGAGGACTTTAGACTCCTCTGTGGTTCTTGTCATTATACCATGGTACTTATTAAAGCAGATCTTGACTGCTCAGGATGAGAACAGAAATCAAGCTTAAAGTAAGCAAAGAGAATTATAACATAAGACCTCAAATGTAAATCTAAACTCTGAAATTTGCCATTTAGAACAGAATATGTTGCTGAATAAAATGGCAATAAAATTTGTACTAAAAAACTGCTTTGTGCCAAAATGCATCTTACCAACATAATTTTTCCTCTCTTTCCCACCGTAATGCCAGAGTTTCTGAAACCAGAATCAATTGCCACTGAATGCTGTAAGAAAATAAAACTTGTTAAATTCTGACACTCTAGCTAATCGGATCATCTATTCAGTTGCATAAGTGACAGAAACATAAATGACCCCAAAACTTATTAAGGTTATTTGGCTACATGGACTACGCTTACAAGTCCTAAGAGCATTCTTATTAGATATACCAGAATATCAATTTTGGAAGTGTCATTGAAAGAATAAAACTAGAATTCAATAAAATAGAGACATTTGGCTAGTAATTGTTTATATAAAGCAGAAAATCACATACACACACACACACACACACACACACACACACACACACACATCAATCCTTCCTATAACCATGTCGTTTAAAAGTAAATAAAAAATTCTTTTAAATGAGTTAAATGTTTTCTCTAAGTAAAAACAGATTATCTCAGTTTCATTTCTAAAAAAACTTTGTTGAAATAATATGAGTAAAGCATATAAAGCACAAAAATTTTGATCTTGTGGGTTGACTAAGTTACTTTATCAGTCTCTAAATGTTTCTGTATGGGGCCCTTGGGACTAAATGTGGGCCTCTTCTTTACTCCAGCTCAGGAGTTTAATCAGGAATGATTTTGTCCCCTGGGGTAAGTTTGACAGGGTCTGAAGACACTGTTGCTCCTGAGTTCCAGAATTCTACCCAAAAGCCAATTTGAAATTTTGATGTGTTATTATAGACTGAATTGTGTTCATAGAGTTTAAAATTCATATGCTGAAGCCCAAGTTCCCATTGTGACGAGATTTGGAGATAGGGCCTTTAAGTTGTTAATTCAGGTACAAATTTAATAGGACTGGTGTCCTAATTTAATAGGACTGGTGTCCATACCAGGAGAGACATGCCAGTGGTATACACTCACAAAGAAAAGGTTATGAGAGGTAATAGGGGGAAGGTGGCCATCTACTAGCCAAGGAGAAAGGCCTCAAGAGAAACCAATCCTGCAGGCACCTTGATTTTTTTACTTTCAGCATTCAGAAATAAATTTTCTTTGTTCTAAGTCACCCAGTCTAATATTTTATTATAGCAGCCTAACAGACAAGTATCTGCATCTAAAACTAGTATCTCAAAGACATTTCAAGTTGAATATGTGACTTAAATTTTTGATTCCCACCCTAACCCACCCTCCCAGGCAACCTCAATAGTTGATTCACTAAAGTATATTTGGAATGTATCTTTTTCCCCTATTTTAGTTCTGTCATTTTAGGCAAGCCACCACCATTTCCCACTTTGATCAATGTGACCAACTGCTAATTTGTTGGAGCAGATCTGAGGTTTCAGAACAAATCTCATCAAGCCAGAAAACAATCCAAACCCTTTCTACAAGGCCCTAAGTGACTGGTCCTAGTCTACCTCTCACCTTCTCTTGGTATGCTCTCTCCTTTAGACTTCCTGTTCTTCCTGTTCTGTGAATACATCATGCTCTTTTTTGCTCCTGAAATTTGTACTATATACTTTAATCTGCTTGGAATATTCATTTACCAGTTAGAGGCTTAGTTCTTTCTGTTCCTTCTAAATCTTAGCTTAAAGAAACCTCTTCAGAGAAGCCTGTGCTAAAGGCCATTCTTTTTATAAACTATTCTCTATCACCAGCCTGTTTTTTCTTTCTGAGGACATTTTGCACCTTGCTGTTACTTTCTTTATTTGCCTGTTCAGGATTTTTTGTTTGTTTGTTTTCTTTTTTGCTATCCCCTCCTCCTTGAGGGAGGAGCCAATGGTCTCTAATCATGTGCCCGACACACTGGGACTCAATGCATTATTGCTAAATGAATGCTTACAACACCATTTAATTTTATATATAAACATATAAAAGGTATAAAAATGAATAGAGAGATGAAACACTTCTGTGTAGCACAACTGAAAAGACATTTACCTAATACTCAATTAAATGATGAGAAAAATGAAATATTCTTTAGGATAATTTTTAATGTAGTTCCATGGTGTTTTGTCTAAGAACTCAGGAAGCAAAACCAAAAGATACAATGTCGAAGTAAAAATTATAAATAGAAAGGTTAAGGAAGAAAACAGGAAGAACAATTTAGATATTATATTTTGCAAGTGATTATTATGTACTCTTTTTAATAAGAAATAGACTGATCAGATAGATAAATAAATTAATAAACAGTTAAATAAACTACCATCATTATATTTTTATAGGAAGCTGAATGTTTAAAATTCAATCTACCCAGACTTCTAAATTAATTTAAAAGTCTTACCAGCATCTGTGCATCCTGCAACTGCCGACACTGCACATGAAGAACAAATGGTTCAAATTTGAAAACGGCATCACCGTTTGCTTTCTTCAGAGCTACCATCTACATCAATAAAAAGTGATAACATCAGACTCAACTATAGGATCAATAGGTAACACTTTATCTCACATGTAACTTTAATTTTTCCTAGAAATTTTCAGACAAACTCGGCATACTTTGTTTGCAATAACTTTTCATCTGCTTTTTTAATTCTTTCAGCAAAAATTAATTAAATTGCTTATTTTCTGTAAAGTCTCAATTTCCAATTCTCCCATAAACGTTAAAGTAGTAGCTTACTTTATTGAATTCCACAACAGACTTTTTTTTTCTTTTTTAAAAAATGTGATATATGAAAGCTGTGCTACAAGAACTATTTAAATTTGTTTAGATTGAGACAGGACCATATGTGTTGTAAGAGAAGAGTCCAAGCAAATTTGACATCTCCCAATAACTCTGCTTCATATAGAATGTGCTAGTGAACTCACAATTGTATTGCACACATACACAAAATTCAGAGCAAATCCAATATATTCCAGTTCTCTCTGTATTGGGCACAAGTAAACTTTTCTTTCTTGGAATTGCTTAGTTACATATTGTATCAGTGGCCCTCAGGCATGTTCAAAATTTTCTGGATTTCAGACCCCATGGGGCAAGGGTCAGGGTCCTTTTACTTTAGCACAAAGTGGGATATATGGCCAAAATGCCCTGGACAGCTGTGTTATAGATCTGTTAGCCATGGGGCATAATACATGGCAAGGAGTTGGATCTTATACTGTCTTTCTTCTCTTGCTGTAAGTAAACATTATACTACTTAAGTCTACTGTGTGTGTTGTCTATTCTTAGCAACCTTAAATCATGCACTAGTCTCTTTCCTGTGTGGTACCTACCTGCCTTTTGACCTTGGCTGCACTTGTGTTACAGTCTATCCTGCAGCACAGCCTGACCACTTAGTGAAACATGTAATACTATGTCTGAGCTAGAATTTATACAAGAGAGTTATTATGTCTGTCTGTCAAGCATTCCTAGGTAGCACCCTCCCTCGTTTTCACCATTTGATTCTGGTATGACTGTCAATCATGACCCTGTCATTCATTACTCTCCCTACCATATCAAAGATGTCAAATGTTTATGTTTGATCAAGGACATATCATTCCACTAGCAAAAATAAAATTGAGCTAAAAGGGAGAACACAGGACAACTCAAGAGTACTTTTCTAGGACTAACATACAAATTTTAGGAAAAGAAAGTTTTTTTCTGCTGGGGTTGCTGGCAGCTCTCATTTCTGCCACAAAGACCATCTGCAGCAGAAAAGATATGGACAAACATGCAGAGAACCAGTACCAAAAAATGAAGACAGAGGGAGTGTCCTGAAGGTAATATTTGAGTACCTGGCCCAACAGTACCTGATTCCATCTTCACCTCTGTCCTTTCTGGATAAATAGATTGTGATTTCTGCATAAGATGGAATTGGATTTCTAAATTCTCTGGATATGAAAAGTTCCCGACTAATACTAACTTATATGAACTCATCTAAACACTTCAATTTAGGGAACTAACTGAGCACAGATTTAAAGATTTTCCAAAAGCAATCCTAGTAAGAAATGTATAATTTATTTACATCAGTGAAGCCAGTAATGCAGGGTCAGGGCTAATCCCCTTCTCCTTCTACAATTTGTTCCAGGTTACACAATTATTAACCAGCAGAATTGAAAAATTTGGATCTAACCTATCCAGCATCCATAAACTTTCTATTATGTCCAAAAGATTATGTTTTATTGAGCCACAGGAAGTAATGCTAGCATACATATTTATACTTCTATACTTTTATCTCTTAGGACTCAAAAAAGCCATTGTAATGAAAGCTTTCTAATCTTCAGCCATTATAATTATGCACATAAATCACCTTGAAAGTTATGTTCTTTTCATATGCATTTAAAGTAACTGTGAATTAAAGTTTTTCTAAATTTGTATATAAGAACTTACCACATCATCTTTTATGCAAGGTATGTGTGTAACTAGTAGCCAGCAACAGTTTTGTTTCTGAACCCCCAAACCATTTATATCCTAAAATAACAAAAAACAGAAATTTAATCGTAAAATATTTACAAAAATAATAAGTATACTGTGTAGTATATTAAGGGCTTTCTTAAGTTAATAATTTGTAAATAATTACTGAAAACAATTCAATGTGTTTTTGGGTAAAGTTAGCCATAAACAAAAATGAACCCAAATAATTTGACCTATGATTTGAAAGGTAAAGGTACTTAATAATTCTCTGAAACATTTTTGTGAGAAAAGGATTACAATCAGTTTCCATTAACAGCATCTGAGTTGTGTGATCTTATTTGGCTAGCACTGTATTAACATTTTTTTAAAAATTCCTTTTGCAGGATAGTGGTGCCTCAATAATACAAAAGACCTACCACTCTTTACTGATGCCTATGCTGTTCACATTTATAATATTTCCCTGGTCTCTATGGGCATAAATTTATTACTTCTGTAATAGACTTCATGTGCAGCCCAAAAGAGACATAGGACTGAAATGTCAAAGTTTCAAGAAGGAACACATTTTAACAATGACATAAGTGGACAAACTTTTATTGCAAAATCCTATAAGGTATATACATATTCTACCCTTAAAACACTGCAAAGAAGAGATAGGAAACCACATACACAGAAATCACAGTACTTCTACAAAGTCACTATTTTTTCTTTTTAAAGAGAGAGAGAGAGAGAGAGAGAGAGAGAGAGAGAATTTTAATACTTATTTATTTTTTTAGTTTTCGGCGGACACAACATCTTTGTTTGTATGTGGTGCTGAGGATCGAACCCGGGCCATACATATGCCAGACGAGCGTGCTACCGCTTGAGCCACATCCCCAGCCCCAACAAAGTCAACTATTTTACAATGGGTCTACAGGAGATTGTTCTCTGGCCTTGAACCAGGAGGCAGTATATTCTGAATAACTGTTTTGTTTTCATTGTAAAACTTTATGTGTACAACCTTGTTCCGTACTGGCTGCTATAAATCTTCCCAGACAATGTACGATCCATCTTCACTAAGTTTACAGGATCTAATTGCATGATATGAGCACTAATACAATCTCTGATTTATGTTATCTGTATTTCCTTTATTCAGATTTCCCACTTTTCATTTTTTCTTGTTTCCTTTAGATAAGTTGCTCCAAACCCTTTCTAAAATAAGGCAGAGTAAAAATAAATATAATACACAAAATGAAAAGAGATTCACATAAAGCCTGAGCCAGTCCAGAAGCAGTCATTCCTTAAGTGAGTAGTGTGTATGTGTGTGTGTGTGTCTGTTTTGGGGTAAAAAGTGGAAGTTTGGGGAATCATGTCTCAGATTTGTAGAGATGGGGAAAACATTTCAGAAAGAAAAACATGAGTAAAGGCAAAATTGGTAAATACAAAATAATAGTTCGGTTTCTGGGATTAACTTAATATGAAGAGGCATTGTGGAAAACAGAGTTGAAAGGTAGAGATTTGTATTCTCTGATACAAAAAAGTGTGCAATAAAGTTTCAGCATAAATAAATGATAAAAATAATTCTGCTTTAAAAAAGTTTATCTAGCCAGGTATGGTGGCCCCAGACCTGTAATTCCAGCAGCTTGGGAGAATGAGGCAGGAGGATAGCCAAGTTCAAAGCAAATTAGCGAAGGCCCAAGCAACTTAGGGGGATCCTGTCTTAAAAAAAAGAAAAAATACACACACACACACACACATATAAAACACGGTTTGGGGGAGAAAGGAAAACATTGGTTCAGTGACTTGTTTGGAAACTACTGCAAAAATCTAGGTGAGATAGAGTAATAGAAAGAGGGGATGAGAGAGGGTGTGTGGGCAAGAGTGTCAGTGTCTGCATGCAATGGAAGCAATATAAAAACCAACAGGCCTTGAAAACTTGGGAAAACAGCAAATGATCAGTCTATGCTGGACCTAAATAATGAGCCTATGAATATCCTATCTTCGATGCTCTGAATTCAATATTACTAATAAAATGAATACACAACCAAATTTTAAAGCACACAATATGGGTGCGTGATGCTAAATATTTCAAAAGAGTTCCCAGTTCCTTCACACAATTCCTTTAGAGCAGACACTCTATTTTCCTCAGTTCACGGAACAGAAAGGAGCTGAGTTTAAATAGCTATCCTAAGGTCATACAGCCAATAATTCCAGAAACTGATTTGGATTCTAAGTAGCATCACTCCAAAGCCTGAGAGCTTGAACCTCCTACAATATACTCCCCCCACCCAATCCCTATTACAAAATTACCAGGGCTGTAATAATGCAGAGGGCCGCTAGGAGGCAGTGAGCTCCTTAAACCTGATGACGTTCAACCACGTAGTAGCAAGGATTTGGTAGACCCATTGAGTGAGGGCTCAGGCTTCAAACTCTCCAGGCCTGGAGAAAATCAAATTCTCTAACCCTTTCCACTCAACATAGTTTTCAGGCCATCATTTGTGGACTTGTTACAAATGCACAAAATCAAGCCCTTCCCTAGACATACAGAACCAGAATCTGCTTTATTAAAAGACACTTCTCCACCCCGCGCTCGAGGAGATTCATACGCAAAACTGTCTTAGAAGCTCTCGTCTGATACACACATAAAGAAACCGAGACCACCCACCAGAGGAACACGCACTGGGTGTTCCATTGAGTGGGCACAGGGCTTCTAAAGTTGGGTTCCAGAGGACAGGCGCTGGAAGGGCACAAAGAAGCCTCACCCCGTCTAGGAGGAGGATGCGGCCAGCGCAGGAGCTGGTGGTGAAAAACTGTTCTCGAGCGTTCAGGAGCTGCACAAGCTCGATCACATCTTCGTCCACACTGCCCTTCCGGCTGAGATCTGCTTTACTCAAACACTGTGCCTTCCATCTCTTGAATTCTGCGCTGCGATCCATGCGTGAGGAATTTAGAGTCCCCGCTCTCCACTTCGGCATTCATCGCTCCTCTCCCTGGAGGCAGCCATATTGAAGCGAACGGTGGCCGGAGATGACCAAACTTCCTTGTCGTGCCGCCCTCGGTAGATTCTCCGGCCCTCCCCGGCAAGTCAAGAGAAGCGCGCCGGCGAGGCGGAGCCTGCAAAAGTTGGAAACTGCCGACCCGCCCCCGTTGTTTTGTAGATTCTGAGGGCGCGCGGGCAAGTTTTAATCCCCACTCTAAAGGCGGTAAGTGGTTTTTAAAAGTCCTCTTAATTGTTCAGCCCGAGAATCCCCGCGACTCTTGTCCAAACTGAACGGTGCTGATTTTGTCTGCACTTTTCTCCTGCCTTGTTCCCTGACAATCAGTACACCGGGAGCTCGACAGCGAAGCCGTTCCTCTCTAGAAGCCGCAAGTTTTCAGCTGAAAAATCAACTGGGGAGTTTTACCTTTTGGTCCTGGCCGTCTGGCCTGGTTTCCACTAGGATCTTCGTTTGGGATGCTGCACCGCGGGTCGCTGCTGCCCGCCCCCAGCCTCCAGCTGGCCTGTCCCTGGGCGGGTGCTACCCTGGGGGACATCTGCAGCTGCGCGCGCCAGTCGGCACAGGCCCTCTGGCACTGCGCGGCTACAGGAGATTGCTCTCCCTAAATTCCCGCAGCTGTGGGTTTCTTAGCGCTCTTAGGGAAGTAAACCTGCTGTCAGGATTGCAGGCTGCCGTTTAGGAAGAAATATATAGTTTTATGTATAAATACATAGTTTTATGTAACCCTCACCTAGAATAATCTTCAAAAGGAAAAAAAAAATCCTATTAACACTTGGCTGTATATTTACAGTTTCAAGAGGAGACTCATCTTAGTGACCCGGGAAGTGACTCGGGAAGGTTCATTAATGATTGAACCATTCAAAAGCTGAAGTCTGGATTCCTTGTCCACAGCTAATGAAAGTGGCAGTGTGAGTGCCATTGAAGCCACTGTGACTGGTTATTGCATTAGAGACTTCAGTCGCAGATCTCATCTCACACAGCTCTATCCCAGCACTGGAGAGCAGCCTGCCCTATTCCATCCAAGACCTTGGAGGGGTTCTGAATTATTAACCGCCTCCCCACTTTACCTTTCCTTATCTAAACGGACCCAGAGATCTAGTGACAAGATCACACATCTGAAAAAAGAATTGCTGACAAACCCCCACCACCCTCCCCACCCCCATTTCTGGGATAAGAAAAGTAAGCAGTATATTTACATGAGTCATTCTTGATCAACAGCAACACGTTTTGTAATAATTGGGATCTTTTTCCAAGTTTTCACTTTTAATTTTTTTTTTGCCAGAATTCTTACTTAATTTTCACCTCTGCTTTTGTCTCATAATGTGCCTTTATTCTGGTTTTATGAATTGCTGTACTTTAACTTTCATTTAAACCATGTGGAAACCAGCATAGCCTGAACACGACCAATGCTAGAAAGAGAATTTTAAGTTTTGTACATCCTAGATTTTTGAAGTATGATTGGCAACTAGTCAGAGGCAAAAATCAGAACCAAAAATTACACTGAGGTAGTCCAAATAATTTTTAAAAGTAGGCATTTGATAAATAGAAAGGCCTGTTTGAGGCACACTTTAATAAAAAACAGAAGCAGTGGAAAGCCATGCCTGTCCACTGTGAGTCCACAAATGATTTGCTCTGAATATTCTAAAACTTAGCATATGCAAGGCTTGTGTAATGGTTAATTTGAATTTTCAACTTGATTGGATTAAGAGATGCTGAAGATTAAGAGGATTATGGGTATGCCAGTGAGGGTGTGTTTAGGAATGCTTGGCATGTGGGATAGGCACCTAAAATGGAGACCATTTCTAAGCATGGGCAGCACTGACCAATAGGATGATGGCTTGAATGGAATAAAAGTTGGAAGAGCAAGGAGGCAGCAGTAGACGCAAGCTCCATTCTTCTTGATCAGGTTCTTGATTGCTGCTGCAATTAACTGAGGCTATCAGTTTCTAGCTTCTTCACTCTTCCAAAGCTGATTCTCCAGAAGCCTTTGGTCTTTAACTAGGGTAGCACTATTGATCCCTCTTGTTCTGGGACTTTAGCCTCTTGGACTGCGCAGCTACTGGTTCTTCCAGCTCTCTAGCCTGCAGATGGCCATCAGGGACTATACAGCTTCTGGTCCTGTAAGCCAGCCTAATAAGTCCGCCTTTTATAATTATACTTCCTGTTGATTCTGTCCCTCTAGAGAACCCTTGACTAACACAGCATGCCAGAAGAACTCTGCCTGGTTAGTTGCAGTTAATCTTCACAGGAGCCCCATGCTCCGGAATATTATCTCTATTTTCCAGATAAGGGAATTATTAATTTTCCTAATAGAATCATGTCTATTGTATTTCTGCTGAATTTCTTGACTTACAGGCATTTGAGAAATTTCAAACTAAGTAGATACTTAATCATAAAATATGTAATCCTACCTGAAGTTTAATTAAATTTTATATTTCTAACTCAGTCTCTCACACTGTCAACATTATGAAATTTATTTCTAGAAATTGAGGGTAATCTATGCCAAAATTTCTAAGGTTGAAGGTTAAAGGATTATATAATAAGGAAAAAGATCTGTAAAGTGTAGGACTTGGGTTCTAGCTTTGTTTCTGTGTGATCCTGGCCAAGTCTCTTAAGCTCCAGCAATGTTTTCTCATTCATAAAAATTATTTTTATGATTATTGATTTTATTTTTACTTCCACATAAAATGACACTTTTAACCACTGTTGTTTCTGTTGTGAAAAATATTTTTATAGAGTTGAAAGACTCATGCTTTTTTAAAAAAAGTCAGATATTGTGGGAGTTTCAGAATTATCATAATTTGCTATCAATATGTCATATTATTTTATTTTTATTATAATTTATATTGACATAGTACCTGTATTATGAAGCAGATGAGGAGCCCATAGTTGATTTAAAAGGCAGAGACCAGATTGGAGCCTGACCAATCAGAATGGCCAAGGCTCTGGGGAAATAAGATCAAGAGAAGCAGATCAGAAGAGAGTGCTGCCAAGGTCATGCATCCCATCTCTGTATAAGCTCCTATGGAGGATGTGGTAGTACTGGGCAAAGCAGGTGGGTTTTCTAAATCCAGTATTAAGGATGAGTCTTCTGTCCTTTGTTCCTCCCTATTTAGCGGTTTCCAGAACATAGGAGAAACAATGTATGTTAGATATAAGGTACATATCCTATTTTAGAGCAATTTTGATTTTTATTATTACTACAGTTTTTTTTTTAAGCTAATGATCTCTGCTGATGGAAAGATGTGAGCACTTGAAAGAAACAAATAGTAAATAGGTCCACACTGAAAATGGAAAGTTATGCATCTTACATGGGGTGTATGAGAGAGAGTGAGAGTACAGAGTGCACAGGATCTGCAGGAGTAGGGCATTTTCTGTGTGTCCTTTGTATTTTCTGGGTTTAGTATAATACTTCACGTATATTTAATGTTCAAAAACTACTTGTCAAATAAATAAGAACCACTTATTGGTATTAAAATTTTGTTTAAATGATTATCTAGACTGGATTCTTTGGGGATAAGACCTTGTTTTCCTAACCAGGTTCTATAAATGTTGTTATATTGAAGATGATTATAGAAAATAGAATGAAGTATATTTTTATGAATCAGAAAGAACTAATGCTATGTGCCATATCTACTGTGTAGTAAATCTGAGTGGAAACCCAGTTTTCAAATGAGGACACAAGCTCACAATGTTAACTGCCTTGCTCAAGCTATGAGGCTAGTAAATGATAGAGCTGGGATTCCAACCTAGGGCTATTGGACTCCAAACACACACACCTTCCATGGTACCATGTTGAAAACAACATTAGCAAACAAACAAACAAACAAAAAAAAGGATAGGCAAAAGCTGTGTTCTTTTTTCTACCATTCTACCATGGGAAACTCTGATCTTTTTCTGTTTTATTTTGTACTCTTTTGTGTCTGTGAGGTACTGGGGATTGAACCCAGGAATATTCTATTGCTAAGGAACATCCTTTTATTTATTTTGACTTTTTTATTCAGAGTCTTGCTAAGTTGCTTAGGGGTACACTAAGTTGCTAAGGCCACCCTCAAGCCTGCAATCCTCCTGCCTCAGCCTCCTTCCTGAGTTGCTGGAATTACAAGTGTGTGCTACTATGCCAAGCTCTGCTTTCACTGTCTTGTCTATGAAAAGTCCCAGTTTGAGTGAAAACCTGGAAAGAACTGTAGTGAGATTGCTGGGTACGACTGTTTACCTTTTCTGGGTCCTTTGGAGTGATACATCTACCTGCAAAACTGTGTAGCTGCTGTGCTGTCTGTGCAGCTCTGTTTATACCCTGGGTCTGCATCTCCCCCTTTGGAAAATTTCATATTTTCCTTTGGAAATTTCACGTTTGCCTTTGTGCTAGGTGCTGTTTTATAACAGATCATTTGAACTAAGGATTTTAAAATGGTAAATTTCTTATTAATTATATCAATAACTTTCCATTAATAATACTACCAAAATGCTTTTAGCCCTCCTTCCCCCACTCCAAGCACACATGGAATGACACTTTGTAACCAATATAGGCCCTGGGCTGAGTAGTCCTGTGCTGAGCTCTGATAAAAGTCTGAATTCTTTGATCACAGGTCCTACTTTTTGCAGCTCTTTCAGATTGCAGTGTTTGTGTTTAAGGAGTATGATTATTGCAGAAGTTAGCAAAGATGTTCTAAGCAGTAGCATAATCTATAACAATATTTGATTTGCTTTACTTCAAGAAATTATAATAACTCACAACTAAATTTATGGAACTATAGTCAACACCTTTTCATTACATCTCTACAGGTACAGAGAATTTTCCAAAGTTACATGATTTTATATCCTCATGCTCTTTGCCTAAGAGTTTATTTTAACTCTCAATTTTCATTTTATTCTAATATTAACAGTGGTAAGACATAAAGGTTAGCTAAGCCCTTGTAATTTACAAAAGATTGTAAAAATTTCCTAGTGGTTTTTTAGTTTTTAATGTTTTTTCCCCTTTTGTTAAAATGATCTACATAAAGCCAAGTGCTTCAGTTTGATACATCTCAAAACTTAATGCTAAATGAAAAAGCAAATTGCGTAATTAAGTACCAAACAACTTAAAGTTTGCAAAACAACCTAAAGTTACAAAATAGTAGCACAGATTGCTTACTACTGCACATGGGTGTGTTAGTGGTAGAATGTACTTGGGAATGATTAGTACTGGATTCATTAATGAAAGGTTCAGAAATGGTTTTAGGGACGAGCACAACAAGCTTCATGTTTTTAAAGATTTAGATTTTTTAAAATGTTGAAGTTTGTTAAAGTTAGGTATGAAAGTGTTTAATTATATTCTCCATATTTCTCTATGCTTGACATATTTCATAATCTTATCAAAATGAAGTCTATTTATCTAATAAATCTTATATTATCTCCTAAAATTTTTAAGATGTTGCAACCCAAGCTTATACAAAAGAAAGCATAAGATATGGTATCATGTTGTCTATCCAGATGTTTCTGTTTGCATGTTTGATTACCTTGTTGAAAGCACTGAATCCCCACAGGAAGGCTTTGTAGCTGAAGGATTTGTAAGATGAAAGATTCTTAAACATGAAATGAGATCAGTGGTAAGCTCGTGACTTAAATTGTTGTTTGAAAAATTGTTTGATCTGCCCCCTCCAGGGTGGAGGTGGGGGAAGCCTAGTGATAGCCTAAATACAATATGGTAATATTTTAATTTTTTTTTAGTATCTAGGTCACCATGGCAACTGGACAGAAGCTGATGAGAGCTATTAGAGTTTTTGAATTTGGTGGACCAGAAGTACTGAAGCTGCAGTCCGATGTTGTAGTACCGGTTCCAAAAGAGCATCAGGTGGAAATAATACCCTCATTCAGGCAATGATTACACAGAATGTGAAACCCTAGCACATCAAGTTAGTGTTCAAAAGCAGCAGACTAACAATGATTTATAAAGACATTGAATTTGGACAAAGTTTACACTGGTTATATGCATGAACTCTGGCAAAATTAACATAGAGCTAAAAATTAGTGAAGTAAACATATGAAAAGAAATAACCTCTGGTTTTAAGAAAATTTTTGAAGTTGAGAATCAACTCACATAATGTAATAATTAGATTTTTCTGAATGGAGTCATAAATAGTTTTGATACCTTTTTTTTAATCAAAAACTTCCTTGGTTTTTATTTTGCACATGATGGGGAAAAAAATTCCTTCTGCATTCATACTTTTTCACTTACGAATTAGGAGAGTTTAATTGTAAAGCTTAATCATCTCAAGTGACTTTAACAATATCCTTTTGATTCAAAATCATGTGTTTTTATTATTGTACCTTCCATAGCTCCCTAGTCTAATTTCCTTAGCAAGCCTTAGAGAGTTTTCACAATTTGACTTTAACCTACCTTTATAAATTTATTTCTTATCACTCCCTCAATAGACAGTGCTGTAACAACATCAAACTTTATTCATTTCCCCAAGAAGCCCTTTCATTCCTTCTGTCTTTGCATGTACTATTCCTTTTGTCTAAAATGATCATTTTCCTCCCATTCCTATAGAATCTCTACTCATCTTTTAAGACTCAATTCAAACACTGCTTCCTTCTTTAGGTTTTCCTTATTCCTATCGCAGAGTTCATCACTTTGTATTAAAGAAAACTTGGCTTCTATATTAGAAGTAACCTCAAAATCTTAATGTTTCAAAAATAGAAAATTATTTCCCACGTTTTAAAATGTTGGTGGGTAGTCCTCCAGCAGTGACTTAGGAGGACACAGGCGTCTGTGCTCATCGGGCTCCACCACCTTCAGCACCTGAGTTCTGAGGTTCCCAGGAAAGGATATAGAAGCACAGTGTGGATTGCCTAGGAAGGTTTTGATGGGCCAGGCCTGTAAGGGGTTTTCATCACTTCTGCTCACTGTCTGGCACTCAGGCCCCTCACTCCTCTTAACTGATTAGGAGGCTAGGAAATAATGTTTCCCATGTGCCTAGGAAAAGGAGGAAGTAGATTTGGTAAAATATAGGGTCTCTGCCACACATATCCTCAAATATTTCTTCTAGTGTTTTCCCAAAATCTTTTTAATATAGCACATAAACCACTCTGTTTTATTTTGTATTTACATATTGGTTCACAAAATTAGAATGTGAGCTGCTTGAGGGAAAGGATTAGTTTGTTTTATTTTCTCCATTTTTATAGCTCCCATAATCCATTTGGTTATAGCATAACCTTAGACTAATGCCTAAATGCTCTGTGTAACTAAAATGCATTGTCATTTCAGGTTCTAATCAAAGTCCACGCTTGTGGTGTAAACCCAGTGGAGACATATATCCGCTCTGGTACTCATTTAATTAAGCCGACCTTACCCTACACACCTGGCACTGATGTGGCTGGGGTAATAGAGGCCACGGGAGATGAAGTATCTGCTTTCAAGGTATCACATTTTAAATTATTTCCATTTTGACTTACTTTTAAAAAAAACATTTTAGCATATCTTTAAAACATATCTGCATTTAAGACTTTCAAAGACCCCATTACCCAATTTCTGCCACTTGGGGGACTCCTCTAGTCAAAAAAGAAATGTCTTATCCAGAGGGTTTGTTTGTTTGCATCAGTCGGAGCAAATGCTGGATGATTTCTATATCTAACAACTCCACAGAAGGAACTGTGATCTTTTTAGTTGAATAAAAATATGTAAGAACACAAATAAGGAAATTATACTGTTTCCAAACTCTTGGTATTACATAAGCCAGTTTTATAAATTTAGTTTTACAAAATAAAGGAAAATTGAATTCTTTTGAAGGATGAGAAAACTTGAAAACATGTGAGGTCATTGTACAGTTTCAGAACTGAGTCAGAGCAAGGTCAATGGAAATGTTTTGGTCAGGGCTTTTGTTATTTATATGCTAAAAGACATATAAAGCAGATAGTATATTCATAGCATACTCATGTTCTAGCATCTTTTCTGATAATTTCTTGACCTACTCAACTTTGGCAGCACATTTACCAAAATTAGGCTGGGATGGAGAAGATTAACGTGCCCCTGTACAGGAAGACGGGTAAATTCATACAGCTTTCCACTTCTCAGCCTGTGGCAATCTGGCTTCTGCCCCCACCGCTCCACTGAAACGATTCTTGCTAATGTCACTAATGGCCTCTGTACTGCGGAAGTTAATGGGCCCTTTTATGTCATTATCTTTCTTGATTTCTCAGTGACATTTGACACTCTTAGCCACTTAACTTTTTCTTAAAAAAAAAAAAAAAAAACCAACTTTTTTCTAAAGCTTCTGTGACATCATTTTATCCTGTCCTCTCTTCGCTTTCCCTCTGAGCATTCTTTTTCAGGACTCTTTTTCTCTGTGTCCTCCTTAAATCTTCGTGCTGCCCAGGGCTCTTTGTCCCTGTTTAGATCTTGGCTTTTTGTATTTGATGTCTTTCCCGATGATCTCAGGCCCTCCCTTTATTTCCTTTATCATATGTGTTATCTTAACCTAGAATATTCTACTGAGCTGTTCAAAACAGTAGCCACTGACCCTATTGACAATTAAAAATTCCAAATCAAATAATTTAAATTCAGATTGAAAGTGCAGTTCCTAAGTCATACTAGCAGCAATTCAAATGTTTAGTATTCACATGCATCTAGCTGCTACTCTACCAGTCTTATGGTAGAGTATAACCTAGACACAGTAGGACAATATATTAATTTTTTTTCTTAGTATCTACCAGATAGTACAGATATCTGAATAGATTTCTATCAGTACAGAAGTTCTGTTGAATAGCCCTGGACCTCCATAGCCAGGCTCTGGGAACCTCTTACTCAGTGAATCTACAAGAAAGCTCATCTTTTCTCACTGCAGATCTGCTCCTCTCTTATGTAACTGCTTTGGCAGCTTCTAGGGTTTGAGGCTCATCTTAGAACTGCATTCTCTCTCCTCTTTCCATACCCAGCACCTATAGTTTAGTTCAAGCTATCTTACCTACTTAACTACACCTCTGACCTGGGATTCTGTGGTAGACACTTAACTTACTACCCTCTCTCCTTTCCTTGAGAATCTACTCCTACTCTAGAATCTTTTCCTAGCATGTAATTCTGAGCATTTTATACCTCTATTTTAATTCTTGCATTAATTCCGTATAGATTTCAGGGTATGGATGAAACTCATTGTTATGGAATATGAGGGTTTCATGCTCTCTCCCCCTATCTTATCATTTTTATCTCCTACTCCTTCTCACTCTACAACTTACTCTTTACTAATGAACTCTTGTCCTTCCCTGCACATCCCATGCTCTCTTATGTCTGTGTTTTTGTTCATATTGGTTCTTCTGCCTGGCAGAAGAACTAAACTGAAAGTTATATACATAGAGTCAAATAACTTCATGTTACCTTTGTACTCCAACTTTAATTTCTTTCCATTTTATTCCTGAAATCATTACATATCACACATGAAGTATGTAATGCCAGTACTTACCTTTTTTTTTTTTTTTTTGGTACAGGGGATTGAACTTAGGGGTGCTTAGCCACTGAGCCACATCCCCAGCCCTTTTTTATATTTTATTTAGAGATAGGGTCTCCTTGGGTTGCTAAGTACCTCACTAATCTGCTGAGGCTAGTTTTGAACTTGACATCCTCCTGCCTCAGCCTTCCGAGTTGCTGGGATTACAGGCATGCACAACCATGCCCAGGTTTAATACTTACCTTCCTACTGAGAATTGATGCTTATAATGTCTCAGCATTTATTCCCGCCTCTATTTCTTTGCTATCTTTGTTTTCATGACTCCTGTTGATTATTCCCAATTCTTGTTTTCAAAATCTTGTCCTATCCTTCAAGTTCTACCTCAAATATTAGCCACTCGATAGAGCAGTTCCTCCATTTTCTCAATTTAGAAGCAATTCCTTTCTTTTTCTTTTACCTCTCTTTGATGGCTCCTTGTGTTTGTTTTACTTTACAATTATTTCTGTTCTTCTCTCTCCTCCTAGAGTTTAGGGTGCTTAAGATTAGAGATTGTGTCTTGCTATTAATATTCTTTGCAGAACTCAAAATAATGCTTTCCAAATTGTGAATTCTTAGTAAATGATTGAAATTGAAATCAGTTCAACAAGAGTTTAAGCTGTAAAAGCAGGATTAATCTTAACCTAGGCATGCTTGACCCTTGCAGGTGACATTATTAAGTGGTAATGCTTGTCTTTGACTCTCAGGTACCTTTTGGATCTTTTCTCATCTCCATCCCACAGCATAATGTTGTTACTTTTTCAGGTTTCTTTATTATAGGACCAATTAAAGTATACTAAGTAGTCATTGCCTCCATGTTTTGCCTATTCCAAGGAATATTTACCTTTATTTCCCAAAAAAAGAGGATTTAAGGGGGCTGCTTAAAGTGAGCAGAATGATTTTCTAACATGCAAATCATACTGGACCTCTAATGCCATGCATGTGCTTTTCAACAGCGAGGGCCCAGCAGGAGTTTATTGAGAATTTACATGTTTGGTGCTAAAGTGAAGAAACCTATCCTGGCTTGTCTTGCTGTTGGGATCCTGGCATGGTTTCCTGTTTCTGGATTTATGCATAAAAAATGATAGGAGTGCATCCATGGAGAGGATTTTGAACAGTTGTTTGTGTATTAAACAAACTTCACATTTTTGTTTATTCTCTCTGGTATTTTGTGTGTGCATGTGCACGGACACACACACATACACACACACACAATAGCAGTTTGTATTAACTACCTTTGACAAATTGATTGATCTGAGGAAATTACAGAACTTCTTTGTACCTCAATTTTCTCATCTGTGTAGTGGGATAAATCTAAAGTGAAGATAATAGAAGTGCACATCTTACATAGGTAGTTGTGAAAGTCAAATAGGACCAATAAGTCACTGACACAGTGCCTAACATAGTAAATTCTCAGTAAAGATGAGTTGTCATCTTTGTCATCATCAGGCTATTCCCAGAGTCCTTCTTTTATTTTTTTTTTCTATTTTATTTCATTGTTTTCCATTAAGAAAACATTTAAAAATCTTCAGTATTTTAAAATTATTTTTTATGCATTCCTAAGATGTAGAAAACAATATATAAATACACATTTCTTCTTATAAAGGTTACAACTCATCTTGGCATAATTTTGAAGCCCTGGTGCACATATCTATCTCTTCCCCTAGAAAGGTGACAGAGTCTTCAGTACCAGAACAATCTCGGGGGCCTATGCAGAGTATGCTCTCGCAGCAGATCATACCGTTTACCCACTGCCTGGGAATCTGGACTTCAAACAAGGCGCTGCCATCGGGATCCCGTACTTTACTGCCTTTCGAGCTCTGCTCCACAGGTAATGACACACTCAGTAAATTTTATAGCTAGTGCCAGAGGAGGGCACTGTGACCCGCCATTCTTCCTGCCATCTGTCATGCATCTGTCTGTCACTTTGGGTTACTAGTTTTATACCATCAAACATTTATGGAATGGAAACTGCTGATTTGGGTGATTGTGCAGATCACTGGGAACACAAAGCAGAGCAAATACCATCTTCATGATGATCGCAGTAGTGAGGGAAATAGACATAAGAATAATAGTATTTCTATGTAATGGGGAAAGGACAATGGTGACATGTATGTGGGGATTTGTGGGATCACAAAGGATGTATGTAGTGATGAGGTTTGGCCCCTGGAAGATGTGTGGGTCTTAGATTACATTAAAGACATGGTTCAGAAATTCTGTTAGCTATTGGATTCACATGTGCAGCACCTTAAAAGTGCAGCAGAGGCCCCCACCTCAGCTCTCCCCCATCTGAGAATCTATATTTTGGTCAAATCCCCTTGGCATTTGAAGAACATCAGGGAATTTGCCTGGGGAAGGGTAGCTGGTAGGAGCAAGGACATTCTCAACAATGGGAATAGAATGATGTGTGGGGAAAACAGTATAGTGTCTAGGGAGAGCTGTAGCAATTTGGTTTTGTTGGGTAAAAGACTTCAAAGAGTGGCAGAGAATAAGGTTGGAACATAACCTCTCAATAAATGATAGCTATTATCATCAAACAGGCAGATTTCAAACTGTAGAAAACTAGGCTGTGGAGCTCACACATTCTTAAGGAAGTTTTGGAGGTCATAAAGTGTTTTATTCAGGAGAGTGCTGTTGTTATATTTGTGATTCATTGAGATCACTTATCTGCTGTGTGAAGGATGGATTTGAGGACAGGAGGAGCAACAGATAGGAGAATACCGTAGGAGTTTCCTCTGGACAAAATTCTTGTGATACAAAGTAAAGGTCATGGTAGAAGAGATCATGGTAGAGGATGGAGAGGAAAGGACAACTATATAAAGTTGTCTATCTAAAGGACAACTATATAAAATCAGGAGGATGTGGTAGTTTTTTGCAGGTATATAATGAAGGAGAGGGAGAGCTTAAGGATACTTATAGCTTTTTAGCTTAGATAGTATATAACTACGACAGAAAAGGAGTAGAAAGTCTTGGTAAACTGTTTGGTTTTGGACTTGAAATTGTGAGACAGTCATCCCATATCCCAATAGAGAACCTCAGTAGCCTGTAGGATAAAAGAATCTGAACCTTAAAAGCTAGGGATATAAATTTGGGCAAGTCATCATGTAGGTGAGTAGATGAAAAGTGGTGGCAGTCCCTTGGGGAGTGAGAATAGGACCCTTGTGAACATTTAAGAGCATAGGCAGATGAAAGTTACAGAGTCCTCAGGGAGCTGAAGGGAATGGATCCCTAAACCAAGAGTGTGGAGATCATAATATTCATGAAAACTCAATAAGCACACAGGCTTTGAAGATAAAAGACCTGGCTGGGCCAGAGTCCTGTCTTTGCCTAAATGACCATGGTCAAGTTACTTCCCCCTCTCAACTGTAGTTTACTTATTTGAAAAACGTGGATAATTACAGAGTCTACCCTCTAGGGGTGTGTTGAACTATGTGTGTGAAGCTTTTAGGGTGGCATCTGGCACAGAGAAAGTGCTCAGTTTGTGTTGGTTGTGGTAGGAGTTGTGGCTTCCTAGCTAGGAAGGAGGGACACCAGCTGTCAGCAGTGATCAGGGAGGAGAGGAGAAGGTTACTGTTGAAGAGAATGGGGGAAGGGGGAAGAGGTTCTTTTTTTGGATTTTTTTTTTTTTTTTGGGCGGGGGTGTACAAAACTTGAACATGTTTATAGCTAAGAAAGGAAGGGAGGAAGGAAGACTGATGGAACAAGATCTTGTATAAGGCCACATGGAAAGGACTTAGGACATTGTAGAGAGATTGGCTTCAAATATCAAAAGGACATATTTACCCTAGAAGGGTAAGGATCATAATTATGGAAAATTCTGTGGGGGTATAGAAGGAGCTTATGTGTGATTGCTTCACTTTTCATAATGAAGTAGGAGGCAAAGTGATCTCTTGAGAGTTAGAACTGAAGGGCACCAAAATGCAGTGTTATAGGATTTTCTTCCATAGTACTAACCATTTGGATAAACATTTGAGGAAGTTAGGTTTTAATGTTAATCCAAGACTGGAATATTAATAGCAAATGGAATAGTTCAAAAGAACTGAGAGCACTGAAGAGAGAGAACTAGGGCACCCTTCCCTGGGGTCCAGGCTGGGAAGGAAAGGAAATGATGTTAGGAGCAGCAAGTGAGCAGATATAGAGCTGGTGAGTGAGCCATGTCTGTGAGTTGAGGAAGAGGTTTTGACAGAATATGGGCTCTCAAAATCAGGGCATCAGGACCAGGGTTGTAGCTCAGTGGTAGAGCACTTGCCTAGCATGGGTGAGGCACTAGATTCCATCCCCAGCACCACATAAAAATAAACAAATAAAATAAAGGTATTGTGTCCATCTACAACTAAAAATATTTTTTAAAAAAATCAGGGCATGAAATTCCTGCTGCAGCATTGGCTCTTGGTATCTGACATTTCTTAGGTACAGTGATTGTTGGTGTTCATCAGATTTAGCCTGAAAGAGAATGGGTAAAGCAGAAAACCATTTAGGAATTGTGGCACTAGATTTTCTTCTTGGTGGTTGTTGAAATCTAGAATAGGGCTGGATTCAGGTGGAAGAGAAAGCCTGTATATCAGGTGCAAAGAGTTTTCAGTGACCAGAGATAGTAGAGGACAGCAGTGTGAAGGCCAGCCCGCTGCTGGAACCCAGGCCATGACCCCAAGGGAAGAGGACTGTGCTAGTCAGGGCTGTCCCAAGAGACTGAACCAACAGACCCTGTGTATGTGTGTATTTGTGTGTGTGTGTTTACACACACACACACACACACACATATATATATATATATATATATATATATATATATATATTCCTTAAAAGCAAATGTTTGTATGTATTGATTGATTGATATTAAGGAATTGACTCATGAAACTGTAGAGGTGTGCAAGTCTAAAATTTGATGGGATAGGTCAGCAGGTGGAGGCTCAGGAAGAGTTGCAGTTTAAGTCATGAGGTAGTTCACTGGCAGGATTCCCTCTGCTCAGAATGTCAGTTTTGTTCTATATAGGCCTTTAGCTGATTGGATGAAGCCCACCCACATTATAAAGGGTAATCTGCTTTACTCAAACTCTACCATTTAAAGTGTTAGTCTCATCTAAAAAAACACCTTCACTACCCAGAATAGTGTTTGAACAAATATGAGGCCCAGGTGAGCTGATAAATAAAATTAATTACCACAATGACTCCCTTCAGGGGCCGTGATCACAGTAGCAGGGATTTAGAAGAAGGTTTGCCTGCACTCACCCCAGCCCTGGGCATTGAGAAGAGCATGTTTTTATAAAAGTTATAAAATTTATAAGATTCTAAAATTTATAAAAATTCATTGGAAAGTATTTCATATTCTAGAATATAACATTAATAATCCTATGCCCTTATTTTTTATTTTGCATTTTATAATGTCAAATATTTTTAGTATTGATTATCTCAGTTTATCATTCAAACCTTCAGTTTAACTCAGTGTCCTCAATCCCCTTATCTCCAAGTGAGAGTGCTGGACAGGCATCCTTTGTTGCCATTTATCAGCTGTTGTCACACAGATACAGCAGGGCTCCAGGCTCCTGTGTTCTCACTCTCACAATAAGCATGGTGTCCCTGGAGAGTGACCACCTCACATTGTTCTAGGAAGTAAGAGCTCCGCCAGAAGAGTCAGATTTGGATCCCATGGCAGCTGCTGGCCGTGACATTAGCACTTGCCCATATGGAAGAGTGGCACATCCGCGTTGGTGTGTATTCTTTGTTTTCGGTGTGTCCCAGAAGTGTAATAATGTGAACCAGCAGTAAAAAGAATATGTCTTTTCACTAGAGGATCTGGACATTTGGGGGGTGGCATGGGACCTCTGTGACAGGATTTATTGTAAGTTCTTTGCTGACTCAGCACTGTTTTCTGAAATCAGAGCCTAGAGGCTGGTGCCTCTTGATGTTCAGAGGCAAAGAGAAGCAAAAATATTTTCTTATCCCTGGCCAAAAATAGGCTGGCTTCTGTGTTTACTTGAGTATTACTCTGGACCACAGAATGAAGACTTAGCTGTAATAAACCTGCCTGGAGACACTTTCTGTGGGAAGCTGGGGAAGAGAGACTCCAGTTCCTCGAGGCTCAGCAGTTCCACTTAATGTATCTACGAGGACAGTAGCCTCTCAGAAATAAATAGCACAGTGCCTGGCATATAATGACACCCAGTAACCATTTGCTGAACAGATACATGAACTGAAGATTTCCCTTTATCTGTGGCTCTAAAGAACCATTATTTGATCCTGTGGAGTGTGAAGAATATTTTGGGCTGTATTTCAGGATGTATCTGTTCTTTGGGTAAATGTTGGATGAACTAAGGGTAGAAATGCCTTAAAGATAATGACAAAACACCAGCATTTAATTATCTTTAAAGAATAAAGAGATGGAACCTCTGCTTTCTTTTACAGCGCCCGTGTGAAAGCTGGACAGAGCGTTCTGGTTCATGGGGCTAGTGGAGGAGTAAGTATTTTTTTTTTTAAGTTTATATTTAAGTGAGCTTGGGTGTATGGGTTTCACAGAGTTCAAGTTGTTTTTTAAAAGTCAAATTTATAAATACAGTCATGGCCACTTTTGTCCCTATCATATGGTGGATGAAACTTTTTAAAATCCAGTCTCCTAAAGGTGATTGTCGTTACCTTATGAGCATTTTTTAGCTAATAAATTCCACAGAGCATCTCATCTTAATGTCTGTATTAGACTTTTTTTTACCTATGTTGGGGGTGGACCAAGATAAACTGGCTTTGTTTTTGCCTTCAAGTAGCATGTTACAAGAATATTTATTGAGAATTTCAGACAGTTCTAAAGGTTAATATTAATTCCGTATTCCCTTAGATAAGGAAATAAAACTCATTAGAGCATCCTCTGTGTGGCCCCAGACTGCAGCGAGAAGCTACACTACTCAGTCCTTTTTACCTCCCCTCCTTTCTTGCCTGCTGCGCTTTGATGACATTCATGGAGTGCATGGTATACAGCTGTGTCCTTAACACCACAACCCAGGGCTTAAGATGCTAATATTGGGGAGGGGGGCGAGGGCTCAGAACTTGTAAAATAAGCCCTTCACAGAAATCACCCAGCACCAAGCTGTCAGAAACCTCTTCAAGAACCTGGCTGCCAATGGGCCTCTGAGGAGCTTAGAAGAAAAGTTAGAGCTCTGAGGTTGGAATTTAACAAGAAATCCACATGACCTCTATCCTGCACAGAAAGGCTTTGGAAATTTTGGAGACAGGATTTTGTGTTTTCAAAATAAAGGGCCCAGGCTGAAGTGGCTCACCTTGAGGAAGCTAGTTAACCCTTTCTGAGCACTGTGTGTTCTGGAGAGTACACTGTAAAAAGTAATCTATTATGTGGTGTATTATGCCCTGAATAATGAGAATGGTATCCTGACCTCCAAAAATGGACATGTGATTCAGAGAAGGCAGTGAATTTTTGTCTATTTCTTTAGATGAATCACAAGGTTTTACATCTAGCTTCCTGTATACCTCAGATAGATCAATTCTGAAGGACTTCACTGCTCGGACTATTTACTAAAAACACCAAGATTGTCTTTATGGGCTTGAGAAAATATGACAGATAAGCTCTGTCAAAAATGCCTATTGTTTAGCTCCAGAGAAGAGGCTATTTTTGGGTTAGGTTAAATTTAACCCTAAATAACTGAAGGTCTGTCAAACACATGCATTTATTTAAATTGCTCTGGCTTTCTGAGAGTGACCTTATGCTCTGTGTAGTAGAGAAATATTTCAGTAGGAAGGAGAAGAGTTTAAAGAAAAATCTCTCTTTATTCCCTTACTCTCTTGTAAAAAGCCCAGTTGCTTCACCATGCTTTTTTTTTTTTTAAGGTAAAATCCACACTGTTCTTGGAGCTGGCTGTTTGTTAAATCCTTGCCTGGCAGGGATAGGCTGGCGACCTGGTGTGTGAAGCGCTTCTGATCCTCCCTGCCCTATCAGAGGGAAACAGAGTGCTGGGTTTTGCCTTGCTTCTGTTTGTACTTTCTGTCCTCATTTAATTCAAATTCCTTTGGGATTATGTTGTGTGTTTAAAATGGTGTAGGATTTATAAACACAGCTATTGTCCTGATATGTTGGTGGGGAGTGCCCTATTTTAGTGTTAGCAAAATAAGTACGAGAAAAATAGTTGCCACATAATGGTGCATAATCTATTGAAAGATTATTGCTGGTAAAATTGTTGATGAGAAGAGAATAAACAGTGCTTTTACAAAGCTATCAAGTACCCTTCAAAGCAGAGCACAAGGAAATATACTTACATTAAATCTTTATTTTAAAATGTGGTTTTATTAGAGGTCTGTGATTTTTAATAGAAATTCAAAGTAGCAAAAGTCCATAGTGATGACCCAATAGCATACTTTGTTTCATCTAGTTGGATACCTCTGTTGTCCATCAGGTGGTGAGTTCTGTGCATTTGTTGGTGTGTTGGTTAGATCCCATAAGTGCCTGCCATAACCTGACTGTGTTAGATCATCATTCCCATGTGCATTATAATCTTTAAGGTCTATTTCAGGCCTGGGAGTCTGTGATTGCTACAATTTTAATCAGTTTCCCTCTCATCATTGTTCATTTAGATTATTTTCTGTCTTGACCAACCAAATCCTTCCTCTAGATCAGTGGTTATCTTTGGCTTGGGTGTGTGTGGGTGGGGGAGTGATTCCACATCATCTGCTCTTCCTTTTCCTGTCGATGTCTAGAGACATTTTTGGTTGTTACACTGGGGAAGAGGATTCTGGCATCTAGTGAGCAGAAGCCAGGGATGCTGTCAAACATCCTTCAATGCTCAGAATAGTTCCCCACCACAAAAAAAAAAAAAAAAAAAAAAAAGATATGGCCCAAATGTCATTAGCACTAAGTCAAGATTTCATAAAAGTATGTGACATTTATCTATATCATTGATTTGGCATATAGTAAAAAAATTATTTCCTGGTATTGTTATTTAAATAATTGCTCCTTTATCTATATTCCTAAATTACTTTTCTCTTTTGTACTAAGCACCTTTATCTGGCATTCTAGTGACTTCGTCCACCTGTAAGATGATGAATCTCAAGTGCATTTACCCATCTCTGAAGTTCAAGTCTATACCCACTCTGTCCTCCTCTGGGGAGTGCTGTGCAGCTCCAGTGTGTTTCAAGTGGACTATTGCTTTCACAAACATGATGCTCTTGGTTAATAAAGCCAGTTGATGTAGCCAAAGACCCAAGAGACATCCTTGACCTTCTTCCTTGCCTTCCATATTTGATCTGTGAGGAAGTCACATCAGTTTACCTCTAATTATATGAATTGTTTTTGTTCTTTCTCCTGCCACTACCTTAGTCCAAGCCAGCTTCATCTCTTATCTAAACTGTTACACCAGCTACAAAATGATCTTTATTCCCCTTTCCTCTCGTCTTTCTTTGTGCCTCACATATAATTGGAGTGACCATTTTTAAAGTCTAAGTTGATAATATACTACTACTAGACCCTCCAGTGATTCTGCAGAGTTTTTAATAAAATCTAAAGCATTTATCTTACCTCTAAGGTCCTGTCACTTTGGCTTCTCTTTGTCTCTCTGGACTCATCTTCCTCTCTCTCTCTCCCTTGCTTGAGTCACATTGACCCTCTTTCTGTTCTTTGAACACCTCAGGCACATTCCCACTCCACCCAGTTCACTACCTGCCCCATCCCCTGAGTGGCTGCCCTGATGTTCATGTGGTTTGTTGTTCACTTCCTTTAAGCCTCATTTCTCAAGAGTGGCCTTTCCTGATGACCCAAATTGCCCCTTTCCTTATTTCTTTCTAACCCAGTAGCCAGTTTTATTTTTTTCTTAGCATTTACCATTTCCTGAATTTATTCTATTCATTTATTTATTCATGTGTTTATTATTTTCCCCTCTCCTTAGAATGTTAAGTTTCTTACATTGATCATCTTTAACACAAGAGTAAACACTCAATAATTGAATAGCACAGTTAATTTGCCCATGTACCTGTCTCTTTTATTTAAATGGTATAGGCCTTATTTGTTATTTAGTATATTTTTTAATTAGTTGAAGTATAAAGTCAGTGAGAATTTTCAGATCATCTTTAAAGCCCATACCTTCTGTACAAAGCAGATGCTAAGCAAACATTTTAATTTTGATACAGTGGTTAAAAATTCATGTTCTATAGTCTGATATGATTTGGTCCAGTCCCTGTTACCTTTCTGTATGTGACTTGGGCAAGTTACTTCTTCTCCTGCTTCTTTTTTTTTTTTTTTGTACGGGGGGGATTGAACCCAGGGGGTACTTTACAGAGCTACATTCCTAACCCTTTTTATATTTTTATTTTGTGACAGGGTCTTGCTAAGTTGCATAGGGCCTTGCTAAGTTGCTGAGGCTGGCCTTGAACTCATGATCCTCCTGCCTCGGAATAACAGATGTATGCCACAGTGCCTGGCAAGAAACTTAAGCCTCCTTGTATGAGGAATAGAGACAGAAATAATATTTACTTTAGGATCATTGTGAGGATGGAATAAATCAGTATATAGAAAGTATTTAACATGGTACCTAGAACATTATAAGCACTCAATACAAGTGAGCTATTTTTCTTATTTCTTTACAAGCTAAGTTCCTTAAAGATAGGTTAAATCCCAGAAGGACCTGAAGCTCATTTAATGTTTATTAAGTGTTTTCAGGAATGCAGAAAATATATAACTATTGTGTTATATTTTGTTTTTCAGGTTGGATTAGCAGCATGCCAAATTGCTAGAGCTTATGGCTTAAATGTTTTGGGCACAGCTGGTACTGAGGAGGGACAAAAGATTGTTTTGCAAAATGGAGCCCATGAAGTATTTAATCACAGAGAAGTTAATTATATTGACAAAATTAAGGTAAAATTTTCTCCAGTATATATATAAAAGTCTAACATTGTTGATTGGAGACTTACATTTTTTAATACATTCTTTTACCAGCTACTCTCTTAAAGTTGTTTGCTTCCTTTTTTATGACTGTGTTTTTATGCTTATTTGTGTTTTAAAGTTTTAATTAATTTAAAAATCAGATGTCTCGTTTTTCTAATTTTACTATCATTTCTGTATTGTGTATAAGTACTAAATAAAATATAATATCCCTAAAGCCTTATGGCTATAAAAATTGATGCTCTTTAATGCAAATCACATTTTAAGTACAGCTATAGTTTTGTATTTATAGCTATGAGGTATCCTTAATATAATTTCTATTGATGTAAAATTTCCATGCAAGGTGAGATACCTGGTATTTGTCTAGTTTTCTTATCTATAAAGTATTGGTTAACTGGGTGCTGGAGGAGTCATCCATAGTGGTGAGGTAGTATTTAGTTATCTGTTGAATATTAACAGAGTTCCGGTCAATTCTCAAGTTCTCCATTTGCACTCTAGTAGCAATTTGCTAAACACTGATTACTTTGCTAATCCTCAAACCACAACTTCCTTATGTTAGAAAGAATTAGGATTTCTCAGGTACTGAATACTTCTTAAAATAGATTAACTATGGGCTGGGGATGTGGCTCAAGCAGTAGCATGCTCGCCTGGCATGGCCCAGGTTCGATCCTCAGCATCACATACAAACAAAGATGTTGTGTCCGCCGAAAATTAAAAAAAAAAAAATATTAAAATTCTCTCTCTCTCTCTCTCTCTCTCTCTCTCTCTCTCTCTCTCTTTTAAAAAAAAATAGATTAGCTAGGGAGAAACACAAGTGAGAGTTCATTATCACTAAATCATCTCACCAAAAAACTGATCAAAGAGATTTCTTGGTCATATGTCCAGGGACCTAGGATCCCTTACTCAATCCTAATACCATTCTCCAAAAATATTTGCAAAGATGGAAATGGCCTGTTATTTTGCAGATGTGTTTCTTTGTTTGGCAATAATCTGATTTCAAGTCCATAAGGTCTTGTAGCTTCCATCCCTTCCACTGATTGCTTCTACTGAAGTCTTTCCCACTCTCCAAACACATCACTCTCCTAACCTATCATCTCATTCCTTTTCTTTGCTCTCCTTTTCCACCAAACTTCTCAAAGAAGTTAGTAAGTACTACTGCTTTTCCTTCCTCACCTCTGATTGCAGTTTTGCTTCCTTTCCAACTTCTTAAACCGTTCCTCTGAGGTCACAGTCTGCTCCTCTTATCTCAGTTCTCATCCTGTTTGATTTTTTGGAGCATATGACCCTGACCACATCTCCTTAAAGCTGATTCTCTTCTTGCTTCTCTGACTGTTCACCTTCATTTCTCCTTCCTCTTCATATGAATGAAATATTGGTGTTCCCTGGTGGGTTTTTTTTTTTTTTTTTTTTAATCCTGGTCTCTCTTTCATGTGCTAGACTTTCCCCTAATCAACCTCATTTGTCCCATGGCTTCAGGTTTTACCCATGTGCTGCTGATTTCTAGAACTGACTCTGGCCTGATGTCCATTCCTTCATGCTGCTAGACTGCTAGACCTCACCACTCATCTGCTCACCCAAGATAGGAACTCTCATTTTATTTTAATCACCATTCTCCCTTCCACCCAAGTTTGTGACCTCATTCTGCTAGTTTCACCTCTCACATGCCTTTATGCAGACCTTTTTTATCTATTCCACCCACCTGTGACTTAGTTTAGGCCTCAATTTCTTTAGTCTTAACTATTAATCATAGATTAGCTAATAGCCCCTTTTGTCTTTTCCACTTTTTAATCAGACTTACTTGTGTTCTTCCTTTAAAAAAAAAATACCCAGAAGTAGCTAAAATGACAACTGCTTTAGAAAAGGAATTTTTGACCCTCAGTCCCTACTGCTGTTGCAGAGCCTAAAATAGTGCCTGGTGCATGAATGGATGCACAAATTCCAAATCCTTTAATATGGCATTCAATGTGTTGTTGCAGTCTGTATCAATTCTACAGTCCCCTCTCCCACAGTGCTGTGGTTTGGAGGAGCAATCCCCAGAGACTCATGAATGAAAGGCTTGGTCCCCAGCCTGTGTCACTGTTGGGAGGTAGTGGAACCTCTCAGAGATAGGGCCTAGTGGGAATCTTTCAGTCGTATGGAGACCTGACCTTGAAGGGGATATTAGGACCTTAACTCTTCTGTTTCTCACCATGAGGTGAGCAGCATGCTCCATCATGCACGCCCCCCATGATATACTGCATTGCTATAGGCCCCAAAGCAATGAGGTATCTAACTGACCATAGACCAAAACCTCCCAAATTGTGAGCCCAAATAACCTTTTTTTATTTAAATTGATGTTTTGTTAACATAACAGAAAGCTGAATAACATGCACCTCCTCTCCCTGCTACTCCTCCTCACCCAGATACATACTTCAGTTTTCCTAGAGTTCCAATCCTTGACTTATCAGTTCCTTACATTTTTGGTATCTTAAATTGAGACTTACTACATCTCATGTCTGGCTTCTCTCACCTGCCTTCCTTTCTTTTTGCTTAGAAAATTCTTTTCCATACCCTAGGCTCAAGTCATTGCCTCTGTGTTTGCAGACAATCAAATTTTTAACCTTTTTCTTCTATCATTTATGGCTTATTCTGATAATATAGTGCTTAGGCCATTACATTCCAGCTCTGCCTAGTATTTTCTCTTTCTTCTTAACTTTGTTTTTAGCTCACTATGTCCATTCTTTGCATTCTAGTATAGTATCTGCCATGGATATTCTTTTTTTATTGATAAAATGAATATCACGTAGATATGTCTAGCTTTTTAAAAGAGCCAGATGGAAACCAAATTCTCAGAGCCCAAAAGAAAAGAATTAGTGTGACAATCAGATACAATCAGATGATAAACCATTTGGAACAAAATTTCATGTACAAACACACACACACACACACACACACACACATCCTGCAACACCAGAGTATTTGTTACTTAATAAAAACGGAAGCCCTCTGGGGTTTATGGATTTTGATTTGTTCATTTCTTTGTAAAAGATATTTTAAAGATGTGAAATCTTTGGCTAAGTAAAAAGTGGTTTATAGCACCTGAAAATTCCAGGGAGACTTTATTTCATTACATCAATTTATCCAGGACAAACCTTTATCATTTTAGATGTTGTGGCTGGTTCCTTGGAGTTACATCATCATTATATAATTAGATCATTTTAAAATTTACATTGTTATTCTTAAAAACATATCTTATGTGTCATTGTCACTTGAAGTGCATTTCTGTAAAATAATAGCTATTTTACAGTTTTTTCACTTATTATCTTACTCGCCATTCTTTTTTTATTATGTAGAAATCTGTTGGTGAAAAGGGGATTGATGTGATTATCGAAATGTTAGCTAATGTGAATCTTAGCAATGATTTGAATCTTCTATCATTTGGAGGAAAAGTAATAGTAAGTATTTTTCATTTCCACTTTAAAGTTTTACTGCAGTTTAATGCTCTCCTGCAGCAATCTTTGACTGTAGACCTGTTATTTCATAATAGGTTGTTGGCAGCAGAGGCCCTATTGAAATAAACCCACGGGCCACCATGACGAAAGAGTCTAGTATAACTGGAATCACTTTATTTGCATCAACCAAGGTAGGAGAAGAAGTGCTTCTAATTTTGTTAACTTGGACATTGGTACAGTTTGCCTAGTCTGACAGCGTGAAGTTAGGGTAGATGCTAAGCTTGGTTGTCTGACCAGAGGAGTGGGTAAGGTTAAGCGACCTGATGGGTAATGAAGGCAGCAGTACAATTTATTACCCAAGTCAAGACTCATGAAAGAGAAAGGTGATATTACCAGTAATTATTCAAGACAATAGGTATTTTATAAACTAACACTATCCCAGGCAAATGGAACTTATTGTTACCCTTTAGAGAACTAGTTTTTCTGTAGTTCTGGACAAATTGACAAAAGCCACCCATTTGTAGGAGACTGTTTGTGATATAAATCTTAGAATCTAAAGTTTTTGAAAGCTTCTAAAAATTAAGTCATATAGTCTACTACAAAAAAAATATATTTTTACTCTCTTTTAGGAGGAGTTTCAGCAATTTGCAGCAGCCCTTCAAGCAGGAATGGAAATTGGTTGGTTGAAACCTGTGGTAGGGTCTCAGTATCCCTTGGAGAAGGTGGCCCAGGCTCATGAGGATATCATTCGTGGTAGTCGGCCTCCTGGAAAAATGGTTCTTCTCTTGTGATAATTCCTTCTTCTATAGTCTTCTTGTGCAAATAGGAGGCATTCTGTCCTCTAGACTTAGCCTACAGTTTCTTTAATTAACATTCAATTGATTTAGTGAGTTTCTCATATTAAAAAAACAAGATTTTTTTTTTCTTTAGGGAACAGAGAAAGTGGAGGAAAACTTATTTTGTAGCTAGCCATATTTTATATGCCTTTTATCTCAATTTAAGGAGTCGTCATAGTAGGGAAACAGCATGTTGGTGGTCATATGGCATTAGCGTGATTTCAGAATTCTTGAGTGATTCTACCACTTGATTAAAATGTGCGAATTTAGCATAAGACTCTTTGATTTCCAAGCCTACTTATTTGTATCAACAGTTCACTAATCTTCTCTGATTACCCCATAGCTGTAATGGACCTGAAACTCTCTAGACATTTTCATACTAATCTCATTTGAACTTGTAATCTTTTGGAAAGGCAAAAATATGTAATACCTAGAGAAAATTTTTTTAGTTTTCCCAGTAATTCCGAAACTACTAGAATATGCACTGCATTCCTAATTGATTACCATTTCATGCTTTTAGTCCATAATGCTAGGTGCAGAGTCACCAAACAGGTATTTCTTGATTCATTAGGTTTTCAGAGTAGATTTAGAGTTACTAGGTTTTGTGATGTGGGTCACATATTGTTATTTAAATTAATAAGTTCACTAATTTTGCACACTAAGAATGGTCTGCTCTTTTTTTTTAATTCTGTAATAAATCCTATAGAATATTAGCCCTGTGTTTATCTAGTGTGTCTTTGTGCAGTACTGGTCTTACATCATTTCTGCATGACTCCTAATGGTTACTTTACAGTGTTCTCTGTTCTGGAACTTATTTATCTGAACTGAATAAAAAGATGGCCTTAGTAATCATTAGCATTATGTTCAAGGAAATAAAGTTTGGTTTTTTTAAATATATTTTTCCTTCCCATGAACACATCCTTCTGTTTCTTATTATATTATATGCTTGATTATCTAATCTGATTTGTTTTGTTGAATGACAACTTCTAGTCTAAACATGTAATCCTGCTTTAGTAGTGAACAGAAAGCACTGCTAATTCCAGAAATTGGCTTCTGGCTCTCTATGCTGTGACTGAAGTGTTTTTGCTATTATCATTGTCTGAGATCATAGGCTATTTCTTTTACAGGTTAACGGTCCTACAAAATAACATTTTGGGGAAAAGAATCAAAGCAGTATTATTAATCAGAAGGCTAGCATTTTATGTGTTTCCAAAAATAGGGGATTCTTTTCTAGGCAAAAAGACAAAGGAATAATTATTCTGTAAAAGTCAGTTTAATGTGTTTGTACACTTACCAGATCCATAGAATGAGCTAACCTGTCAGTCATCTTAACACTTCCCAAGTCATTAATACAGTTCAGTTAATATTGAAGGCAAAACTAGCCAAGCTCTATGGATTAATGGCAGTGATTATGATTATATGGCATTGGATACATTTTCTGTATGAATATCCTTGTAATTCTATATCTGGTCCTCTCCTAACTTACAGCTGACAACATTCACTAGTTAGGGCTTTGCACTACTACATAGTCCCCTGTGCCTGTCCTGCTGTCAAGTAGAGAATAATTTGTAGAATAAGCAAGCATTATTTCACATGGCAACCTTCTGGATTTCTGTTTCTGTTTGCTTTGACTTCTGTGCACTTGACTCCTAACAATGTTTGTATGACCAAATTAAACAACTGCCTGGAGCCCCCAAATGTGGAGCAACATGCTGAAGGTCACAGGACTAGGAGATTCAAACTCAGCTGACAATTATTTTTAGTAACCTGTTGATATAAAACCACAGATTCCTAAACTTTAATTCCAAGGTCTTAGGCTATGCTAGCTCACTGCACCTCTGACTTCTGTAGCAGGTGCACTCCCTGCTTTCTAGTTTCATTCTCCCTAGATTTCTAGAACCTGGGCCTGTTTGTCATCTTTGTGTCACTTGTTATGTGTCCCCTGATTTGGCAGACTTCTGGAAAGAGGTGAATATCCATTAGTTCACCAAGTACTTACAAATTCCACTGATGGAATTTGAGAATACAAAGACACAGGACATGGTCCACAACATTGAGTTTACAGTTGAGTAGAGATGAGACCAAATAAAATGTTAGAGTATAAGGGAGTGTATCAATCAGACAAGGTTCTCCAGAGAAACATAATCACCAAGACATATATGTATAAAGAGATTTATTGAAGGAAACCACTCACGCAGTTGGGGCTAGAAAGTGAAGGCCAGCAGTATGGCAATACAGGCAGGGTTCTATGTTGCAACGTTGAGATTAAATTCTTTTTCGGAAAAACTCAGGAGTTTTTGCTCCTACAGCTTTCATCTAACTGGATGAATCCTACCTGCATTATTGAGGGAAATCTCCTTTAAAGTTGTCTTAATTTTATGCAAATGAATAAATAAAACATGATGATTTTATGTTAGCACATATAACCAAACTTCACATGGGATAACATGGGGACACAGAGCATAGGCACTTAATATAGCCTAAAATTTCCAACAACACATTTTATGCTTTTGTTGGCTCTCTCCATCTAAGTGGCTTTGGTGATAGTGGCAAAAAATAAATTGGGTGTTTTGGAAAGAGGAAAAAAAAAATCAGGGAGCATTTTTCAGTGTCCTTAACTCAGCTTCACTGAAGTAAGAAATGATATGTGTGCCAGCTCCCTGCCAGCTTCTACAATTCACAGTGCAAAGAGCTTTTTTCTATACAAGATAACTGCTAAGAGCAGCAAAACCCATCAGGTCACTTTGACCTGGCTCTCTCAGCCTCCTCAAGCACATGCCACAGACAGGAAAACACCTTAGCTCAACCCTTAGTCATCTCTTTCTAATAGCATCAATTTTTGTGCAGCCCTTTTAAAAACTACCATTTAAAAACTGCTTTTTTTTTTTTTGTACTTCATAGGATACATATTATGGGAACTTCCTACCTAATCTGTCAGTGGTCCATCAATGACCTTTAGGTCATACATGAGGACAGTCCATATATATTCTTTAGGAGTGAGTCTAATGCTGATCCCCAAACTATTGTATAATAAAGACATTAATTAAATAGGTACTAAACAGAAGTTCTTCATTTATTCAGTCTCAATTTGATGTAAAAATATCCACGAAGACTACAACATTTCAGCAAGCTAAAGAGGTGATCCTGTGCCAAAATCCATTTGGAATTTCTAACTCCAATGTCAATCATTTGATTTATTGGAACAAATTAGCTGCAGGATGAGTAGGAAAAGTTTCAACTTAGTCACTGTTTTTAGCAAGGACACATGGGCTACTCTGCCTGGAAACTCATACCCTTATTGCCTAGAAATCATCTACGTTAGCAGGAGTTGACATCTGTTACTCACTCCACTCTATCCTTCAGTTCCTTGCTTTCATAGGCATTTTGGAAATTACAGGTTTCAATTTTCAATGTAGCTTCAGATAAAGGAAGGAGAAGGAATGTGTCCCCTTGGATATTGCCATATTTTGGATCTGAAACATTCCTTAGAGATCCATGTTTTAAAGCTTTTATCCCCAGCTTGGTGCTATTGGGAGGTGGTGGAACCTGTAAGATGTGGGGCTTAATGGGAACTTTTAGGTCACTGGGGACATGTCCTTAAAAGAGGATTATGGGACTCTGATTGCTTCTTTTCTTTTCATGTTCCTCTGCCATGCTGTGTGGCTATGGTACACTGCCTGGCACAGGCCCTAAAGCAACAGGGCCTACCAACCATGGACTGAAACCTCCTAAACCATGAACCCAAATAAACCTTTTCTCCTTAGAAACTGATCGTAAGGTATTTTTTCCAGTAATGGAAACCTGACTAATAGATGTACAGTCACCACCAAGAAAACACGGAGATTGAGAGTAGAAGATCCCCAGGTCGTAGCAGATGCTAGAAGGAGTACAACACTTGGACAAAAAACATTTGTCTGATTCTAGCAATGCTAGATTATCCAAGAACTGGATTAGAAGATGCTCATGTGTTAGTCCAGCAGGCACTGGAATTGATACAAGGTATTCAAGAGGCCACCTCACTACAGGAACAGGTCCTATAAGCTCCCTATTGACATAGAGAAGAGGACCACAGGTGTGTGAAACTCTGGGGTATACTTCCTAAGAACAAAGGGTTAGAGAGACATAAACCTGGCTTTAATTCCTAGCTCTATTACTAACCAGCTGTGAAATCCTAAGAAAATTACTTATATCATTTGGAGCCTCAAATTCCTAGCATATAACATAAGGTGGGATGTAGAGATTGTATGAGTTCAATAAGAAAATTACTATGTAGTACTTAGCACTCTTGTCTTAGACAAGGAAGTATTTAATATTTCATTTTTATTAGTTATACAGAGTAAATTGAGAAAAGGGGGAGGAATGAAGAAGGGAATATTGTGAAATATGCAAAAAAATTTTAAAAAGGAACTCCAAATACAAGTTCCCAAAAGAGGTACAAATGAACATAATTACAGAAAGCCTACTTGGTCATATGGATAAACTTGATCCCAAAATGTAGAAGAACAAGAGATGAGAAAAGTATATCATAGAATAAACAAAAACCGGATGAAAAATACAAACTTCCAATTATAGGTGTGCCCCAAAAATATCCCAGAAAAATGGAAGAAATACTAATTCAAGAAAACTTTCCTGAACTAAACAAAAGAACTTTTGATCACTGATACTAATTATTTCTATGCAAAAAGTGCCGCAGTCTGGCTGGGCACAATTCAGGAGCCACTTGTCAAAAGAAACGAACTTTATTTTTAGAGCACACGCACCACACCACACAGCTCCTCAGGAAAAACCTTCAGAGCCCAACTGCCACAATCGGCTTCCCACAAGCCTCTCAACCTCCCCCACTCCTCCTGCTCTTGAGGCTGATTGGCTGGGTTGCGTGGGTGGAGCCAAAAAAAGTCCCCCAATGAGCAGCTCCATGGTCTGAAAGGGCTGGGAAACAGCCCAATGAGCATCACCGCAGAGGAGCCAATCAGTTGGCAGCTAGAAGTTTGCTGGGGCTGCTGTGAGCCAATCATCAGCTGGCAGCTGGAAGTTTGCTGGGGCCCCTTTCGGCTGTGGCTCTCAACAAAAAGAGTTCAATTAATAAGACATATCCTTTAAGTGTTTTAAATTTTGCACAATTAGATTTGGAAAATAACACACAGAAGAATTATTACTTACAGTTATGTCATTCAAAACCTGGAAAAATGCAAGAGGACAACAAAAACTATTAAGGAGTTCAGAGAGATGACTGAAATAAATGTATAAAAATTAATATACAATTAGAAAATATAATGGGAAAAGGTCTTATTCATAGCCGCAATATTGCAATTAGTAATTTATAAAGCAATGAAATGTAAGTGACCAGATTTACAAAAAAATCATACAGGACCTTTAGAATGAAAACCATAACATTCTCCTCAGGGATATAAAGGAGTTCTAAAATGATTCTTTCCTGGGGAGGCCAAGGCAGGAGGATAGCAGGTCTGAGGCCAACCTCAGCAACTTAGGCTGACGCTGTGTAAAAATAAAAGATAAAAAATGGACTGGACTGGGGACGTAGCTCAGCAGTAAAAGCACCTCTGGGTTTAATCCACAGTATGACCAAAACAACAACAAAAATCTTCATCAAATTCATGTAAACATTTTCCCTTCATGCTCTCAAATTCAAAATCATATGTAA